TACCCTTTCACACTTATCTGTAACTGAATACATTCATTAGTTGAAATTATATAATTAAGATTGTTTTCTTTGACAATAAGCCTTTAAGTGTTCAGAATTTTTCTTTTGTTATTACAAAATTAATAAAAAAATCACCAAAATATATTTTCTATTCCTATAATAATTATTAAAACTCAAAACTAGTTTGTTTTTAGGAATTTATCTTTTAATGAGATAGGATTTTCTTTTTTTTTCTATACTGAGGATTGAACCCACCGGGGCTACCAACCACTGAGCTATATCCCAGGCTTTTCACTGATTTGAGACAGGGGTCTCCCTAAGTTGCCTTGGCTGCCCTCTAACTTGGAATCCTCCTGTCTCAGCCTCCATTGTCAGTGGGATTACAGGCGTGAGTCACTGTTCCCTGCAGGACACAGTTATTTTTTAACAATCAATTAAGTAATGAACATTTCTTATTGCTAGACTGAATCAGCATCTATTTTATGCCCATTTTTCATTTTTATAAGTGTAAGTACTTAAAACCCCTGAAAATGGAGTTTAGTTATAACAACATCACTCAATTCTTTGAATTCTTCCAAGTAAACTGTTAAAAAATTATACTGTGATCATTATGTTGAATGACCTATCAGCTGACAATTCAATTATGTTTTCCTTCCATTTAATTGAAAGAAAGCTTAAGAATCTTTTATTTCTTCAATTTCTGGGAAGCACGCCATAAAGATTTAGCCAAGACTTTTCATATGACACCCCTGACATTTTCTCAGCAATACTTGGGTTAGCTGTAGACACTGAGAATGGGTTAGATAAATTAAAAATGTTAATTTTAATATATATTTGCAGTGCTTTTTAATAAAATGCTTTTATCTTATGATGCGTTTCAATTGTGTTTTCTTCAAGACTTGGAAGCTGCAGGTTTCACTTATTTAATTTATTAAAATGTTTGCCATCCAATGTCATAGGAAATGCCAGCCTTTCGCTGTCACTAAAGCAACCAGATCAGGCTTGTTTCTCTCAGAAAGAAGTTGACTTTATTTTTCAACTCAAATAAGCATGTTAGAGTGTGTCCCAATGATACTCACTTTATCTTTTTTTTAAGTTTTTTCATTTATTTTCTTTTCTATTTTTAATTCTAAGGAAGGTAGAGATAGATAGATGAACAGGTTTATAGGTAAATTAGATAGACAGACATGAAGACAGAAGATAGAAGAGAGATAGTGGTGGCATATACTTAAAGGGGAATTTGTATCCTGGGTCTTCCTCTTCCTAGCTTTCTGCTTCCTGGCCACCGTGAGGTGAACGGGCCTCCCCTGCCATGCAATACTACATGATATATTTTGCCACTACAGCTGCAAAGCAACAGATCCAAGAGATCATGGACTAAAACCTCTGAAACCATGAACCAAAAACCAAAGCCTTTCCTCTTTTTTAGTTGATTATCTCAGGTATTTGGTTACAGTAACAGAAAGCTGACTAAGACAGACAGCTATAGAATGTAGATAGAAGTCTGTATAAAATCAGGAGCTGCCACCTTCAGTACTTATTCTGATGTGCCTTTGCTCTAATATTATGGTCCCTGGGCAGTGATATATTTTCTGAAAGAATTATGATTATTAAAGGAACTATGATTTTAAATGAAAGATGCTGCCAACTCATCGTATATCCCAGGACAAAATCCTCCATTCTCAATACCTTGTTTTGCTTTTAAAACAACAAAAAACTTTAGGCTGGGTGCATGTCTATAATCCCAGCAATTCCGGAGGCTGAGGTAGGAGGATCACAAGTTTGAAACAGCTTCAGCAACTTACTGAGACCCTAAGCAACTTGGCAAGATCCTGTCTCAAAATAAAAGATAAAAAGGGTTGGGTATGTAGCTCAGTGGTAAAGTACTCCTGGGTTTAATCCCCAGTACAAAAAAAGAAACCTTTAAATTAAATTAAAATTTTTAAAAGTCACCAATATTTCAAAGAATACCTCTGTTTTGATGACCCAAAGATTTTTGCACTGGGCCAATACACTACAAGAAAGGGTGAAATGAAGGCTTATCATGTGGCTAGGTGGTGGAACACTTGCTTGGCATGCTTGCAGGCCCTGGGTTCCATTCCTCGTATTACCACCTAGTATCACCTATCTTCTTTTGTTAAAGTGGGAGGAGAAGGAATGCCCCACCCACTGTGCGTCTGCATTCTCCAGGTGATTAGTATTAAGAAAGAACACTGATTCCCTTAAAGCTATTGATGCCCATTCATGTTTGGGAGATTTGGGGTTCCCTTGGGAACACGTGCGTCTCAGCCTGAAGACTCCTGCTTAAGACTATCTTGCCTTTTACAACCGAAGTCCTGCTCCTGGCTTTTGAAAAAAATTGAACATCACATCTTTTATATGATATCATTTGTTTGCAAAGGTTGTATGACATTCCATTGTATGAAAGCACTGTCACTTCTGTAACTTGGGTACCAGTTGTGTACCAGGTTGTTTTCAATATTTTCTGGGAACACAAATCATGTGTGCGTACATATATACATATTTTTAGATATATATTTTATGTATATGTATACACACACAGAGACACTCAGACACACACACACACATATATTTACTTTTTTTTCTTAAGATACTTGGTATCGAACCCAGGGGTACTTAGCCACTATGCCACCTCTCCAGCTCTTTTTATTTTTAAAGTTGAGACAGGGGCTCCCTAAATTGCTTAGAGCCTCACTAAGTTGTTAAGGCAGGCCTCAAACTTCTGATCCTCCTGCCTCAGCCTCTTGAGTTGCTGGGATTATAGGTGTGTACCACCACACCTGGTGTGTATGCACTCTTTGGTGCACATGTAGGAGAATGCCTGGTGGGGAAATATGTGGGACTGAAGGGTTGAAGAGTAGGGTCATTTGCAATTTTGATGGTAATGTTCAGTTGTCCTCCATAAGGACTATGCCTCTGTATACTTCCACCATAGTGAATGAGATCGCTTGTTTCCCCTGGCTCTGGCCAACACAGTGGGTTAAATATTTTCATCTTTGCCAAGAGGAGGGGCGAGAAATTGCAACTTGCTGCAGTTCTGTTTTGAACTTCTCTGGAGTAAGGTCATCATTTTTCATTGGTTTTTTTCATCCCTCTGAAAATAAGTTTTCTGGAAACATCTGTTCATGTCTTTTGTCCATTTTTGATTGGGTTAATCTTTCTTGAATTGTATTAACACTTTGCTGAGGAGATGAGTTCTTTTTTTTTTTTTTCTGTCAGAAGTGTTGCAATGTTTTCTACAGCCTATCACGTGCCTTGTGACTTTGGCCTTGAATTTCTGTGTTGTGCAGAAATTCTTAATTTTTATGCCATCAAATCTATCCACCTATTTTTATGATGTGAATTTTAGTCCGTACTTAGGAAAACGCTCTCTGAAATTATTCTTTTTAATTCTCTCATACTTTCCCCATCCTGTCTCTCTCTTTCCCTTATTATTTAAAAATTCTTTATTTGTCTGGAATTTACTTTGTTGTACAGGCCACCCAGTTGTCCCAGTGCCCTTTAAGATCTTATGCTTTCTCCGTCGGTAGGAGATCCGCTTTTAGCACACGCGTGGTCTTTCAAGCGTGTTCCATTGACCTGACAACTAACCATGCCTAGGACCGACCTGCCTTATTACTGCTCTAGTTCAGAATTTTCTGATGATTTCTGCATACATATTCCTCATGAGAGTTTTGGAATCAGCTTCCTAATTCCTCCAAAGCACAGTAGGTATTTTTCTTGGAATCACTTTAAATGAATACCTAATTAGGAGAACAGATAATTTTTCCCAATCTTACAATGGATTCAATTCTTTGCTGGACCATTTTGAAATGTCTGATGGGACAGCTCCTGGTCTTCCTGGGAACAGTCCCAACCTGAATCTGCACCCTTGTTGAGTAGGACCCGGTCATGCTGCTCCCCAGGATCAGGGGACCTTTCTAGAGGCCTGACTGGACAGCTAAAGGGCCGCAGCAGGAGCATCTTGGCCCTCCTTTCCCTGTCCCAGTGGCTGTCTCTCCTCTGTACAGAAATTTGCAGTGCTGTGACTTAATCACAGCTCACTTCCACAGAAAGATCAGGGGATGAATAAACAAGGAAATGCTTCCTTGGGACCTGGTGATCCTCCCTTGAGACCCTTCTTGATTACCAACATCATTGCTGTGAACCCATCAAAGAAAAGCAGGAACCATTTGGCCTGGGCTACATATTTGCAAAAAGACCACAGATTTATACTTTTCACCTCATCATCAATCGAGATGAATCACAGAAGCACTTTGTGAGAATTGAAAGGAGATACACAAACTGAAATGCATGCACTATAAATTTTATTCAAAACATAAAACTAATTTGTGGATAGCACAACAATATGGTGGGACATTATCATATATAAAGGAACACCTAAAACATTAAATCTATATATTTTATTTATTTTTTTGGTACAGGGTATTGAACCCAGGGTGCTTTACCACTGAGTTACATCCCCAACCCTTTTTATTTTTTAATTTGAGACAGGGTCTCACTAAGTTGCTCATGGACTCTGTTGAGGCTCACTTTGAACTTGCAATCCTCCTGCCTCAGCCTCCTGAGCAGTTGGGTGGGATTATAGGCATGTGCCACTCTGCCTGGCTCAAGCCTACATATTTTAAGTGACACATAGCTATCACACAAACCATCGATAGAATAGTATTTTTGTTGTTGTTTTATCAAAACTTGAAAGTTATATCACTTTGCCACCCAAATCCTGTATTTTACACTTTTTGTGTACAGAGAAATAAATGATGTGGTTTCTTATATTTTTAGTGCTAAAATAAAGACTAAACCTCTATTATAACTTGTGCTATTTGGTTTGGGAATAACTGCCCCCTCCCCAATATACTGGAGGCCTCCAAAATGGAAGATGTCCCAGATCTTTTAAAAGCAGCAAGATCTACCAATGCAGCCTCCCACCTCACGACCCTAGCTGTCGAGGGTCAGGGCTTAGCCCCGTTTCAACTCACATAACAATTTCCTTTCGCGTCTGCTCCAACATCATGTACTGTGTCCATTCCTGTTCATTTTCATATGTCTTAGACTGATCCACGATCTTCTGGAACATCGTCCTCTTCCTACGAAACACATCAGCTTTTTAAAGGAAGCAAGTCTTAGGTTAAGACATACCTGTGCTGCTAACACTTCTCATTTCAGATGGGGACTGATGAAATCGACACACTTAGCCAAACTAGAACAATGGCTGGGAGTGAAGACAGGCTCTAACTGTGCCGATTTGCTATTGGATTTTAGCAAATCTCCTACCCTGGGTCTCAGTTTCCCCATCCACAGGATGAGAGGAATGATAACTCACAGGGCTATAGTGTTGAGCCTGGCACATAATAAAGATCAATTGGAACTATGTTTGTTATTGTTTTCATAATCATTGGTCTTCTTGTTATTAAAGTGAGAAAAAAATACCAACTTGAAATACAGGGCGAGGTCCGTGGCAATGATTGCGATGTCCATCATGTGGATTGCGTGCTCATGCTGTCGGCGGTTGAGGTTTTGAAAGATATTCAGGCTCTAAAGAGAAAACCAGCGGGGAGATATGAGAAACGATGCTGGCTGTAGTAAGCCACCTCCCAGTGGTCACCTTAGATGGCGGGAGTTCGTGGCAGCCTAGGCCAATGCAAGAAGGCTGCCTGGGTGCGCTCAGGCTTCTTCTGAGATGAGGCCTCAGCCCCGTCCTACCTCATCTCTCAGCAGTGTCTTGCCAAACTCCAAGTGATGTCTTTCCAAGATGGAGGACCCATGGAGCTTGGCCAGTGGGTTCTGGGATCTGAGAGAGAAAGAGAAAGAAAAAGAGGGAGGGAGGTTAAATCAACATGGAAGGGTCAAGATGGAGGTTAAGGACTTTATTATCCAGTCCCAACACCTCTAAATCTGCAAGTAGAACGGCTGAAGTTCAAGATTGAGAAGGATTCTGCACGGGTCCTTGCACAGTGAGACGAGGGAAAATTAGGACCAAACACCAAATCTCTTGGCTCTGTCTTTAGCTTTTCTCCACAAGTGATTCTGACCTAGTCTGGCTCATGGACTCTTTAGGGAATTTGCTGAGCAGTGTAGACCCTTACCCTCAGAAAAAGTAACAAACCCATATCATACCACACACAGCTACAGAGATTTATGGATCCCCTGAAGCCATCCATTCATCCTGGCACGGGCCATGCTTTGAAGATCAGCAAAGCCCTAGTCCTCCATTCGTAAGGGGAAGCCACTGAATTCCCTCCAGCAGTGTGTTTGTTCGTTTTTTAAGTGTAATAAATATTTGTTGAACACTTACTATGCGATGAGCACTACACTCCATACTTGGATTCCCACAGTGTAAACTGTAAACACAACCTTCACCCTTGGAGCAGCGTGGACTATTGAAAAAACTCAGAAGAATGAATCCTAGTGCTTATTAGTGAGTTACAGGCCTCCATTTCTGCATCAGTGTCATGGGGATAACACTAGCCCCTACTCTGTCCAGCCCATGTGGTGATCAGAAGGATCCAATGAGACCAGTTCAAGGACTGTGCTTCAGAGGCAGGCTGGAATATAAGCACTATGAGGACAGGCACTGTGTGTTCTGCTCACCATGGTACTTCCTTTGGCCAGCGTAGTTCACCAACTACATGAGAAGCATTATGAATACACGTGAACAAATGAACATTATCGGTTACTAACATCTTGGCTCAAACTAGGACGGGGAGGAGAGAGTGCGGGAGTTAATGTCCTAGTTTCCTATTGCTGTTGTAACAAACTGCCCCAGACTTAATGTCTGAAAACAGTAAAAATGGATTATCTTTCAGATTTGGAGTTCAGAAGTCTAAAGTAGTCCACAGGGTGGTCTCCTTCTGGAGACCCTAGGGGAGAATCTTCTCTCCTCTCTGACCTTCTGCCTCCCTCTTACAAGAACCCTTTGGACTCTAAGGGGTCCATCTAGACCATTCCTATACCTCAAGTTCCTTTACCACATCAGCCAAGTCCCCCTCCCACCTTTTCTTTTTCCCCCAGCCCTAGGGATTAAATCCAGGTCCTTGCACAAGCTAACTGACTTCCGACCCTTTAAAAAACTTAATTTTGACCCAGAGTCTCACTAAGTTGCCCAGGCTGGCCTCAAACTTGCAATTCTCCACTGAGTTGCCTCAGTGTCCCAAGTCACTGTGGTAACAGGCGTGAGCCACCGCACCTGGCTGCAAGTCTGTTTTGAATGTAAGTCAACATAACATATTTCCGTGCTCTGGGGTTTGGGATGTGAACGTCTTTAGGAGGCCATTATTCTGTCTATCATAGGAGTAGAGCTGGATCCCAAGGGCAAAAGGAAGTGGGAAGATGTGGACAGTGGGCCTTTTCCTTGGTCACCCAGCCTGAGGACCATAAAGACCTAGGTGATAAATCCTGGGATGAGGGTTGGGGAGGGGCGGGGAGCCAGTAAGGGCTAACTCACTTCATCTGGTAGAGGTTGTTGGTGCCTCTGTGGTCAATGTCATGGCAGAAGGCAGCAGTGACCATGGCAAGGGCCTCTAGGTCCGTGAAGTATCGCTTCAGCTTTCCTGTCTGGAAGGACAATCAGAGGTACAAGTCACTCCTGTGTTGTGGGGGGCTGGAAGCAGGGCTGAGAGGGCAGATTGGGGGAAAGCCTGGCGCTGACCGACATGGTTCTGACCTTGAGGTGAGCAGAGCTTTACCACAGGCTGAGTTTTCCAGGAAGTTGGACTTTCCATACTGAAACTGGGATGATCCCAGGCAAACAGGGAGAGCTGGCCACTTATTACTAGGTGACCTTAGCTGGGTTCATGCGCCTCTGGGCCTCAGTATCCCAATCTGCACAGTGGGGGTAGAGGATGTTGCTCTGGATGATTTTTGAGAAACTTGGAACTATCAGGTTTCAGGATTTGGAAAGTTTATGAACGTGGCCAGATGGGTAAAGCAAACCTCCCAAACCTGGTCTACTGGTTTAAGCACAGCCCGGAGGAATCCTCCTTTCCTGAGGCTTCTCCACATAGTTAACCCTTGTTCCTGCTGGTGCTGGAGAAGAGGCTGGAGAAGGGTTGGGGAAGGGTTCTGGAGAGGCAATGCTGAATTTGATCCTACGGAATAAACCAGATCTAAGCTGTGTCCTTGTCACCTCTGGCAGTGGCCTGGCTAGAATGCCTACCTCTGGGTTCCAGTACCTGCTCTGACCTGACATTTCCAGCCCTGAAGGGAAAGGAATGAGGACAGGGAATGTGAGCCCAAGCAGACTTGTGTCATGCCCTGCATGGGGAACGCTTTCCAATGAAAGATAAAGGGCTGGAACCCTTTGAGCCCAAAGTACTGATACAAATGCATGAAGGTCTGTCCCCCAGAGGGTACAGTAGCACTGTTTGTCACAGCAAAGATTGAAAACAATGTCCACACCCACAATTGGGTGCTGGGTGAAGAAATCATGGTATATTTAAACAACAACAACAAAAAAAACCAGCCCTATCTCTGCATCTGTGGGCTCCACATCTGTGGATTCAATCACCTACAGACCAAAAATATGTATTTTTAAAAATCTGTCTGTACTAAACATATACTAACTTTTTTCTGTAGTTGTTCCCTAAACATTACAACATAATAACTATTTTTAATATCATTTTTTTTTCTTTTGTTTCTCTTTCTTTCTTTCTTGGTACTGAAAATTGAACCCAGGGGCACTTAACCACTGAGCCCATCCCCAGCCCTTTTTATATTTTATTTTCAGACACATTCTCATAAGTTGCTTAGGGCCTTGCTATGTTACTGAGGCTGGCCTGGAACTTGTGATCCTCCTGCCTCAGCCTCCTAAATTGCTGGAATTACAGGCACACACCACTATGCCCAGCCACTTACATTTCCATTTTTGTTGAGAGCCACAGCTGAAGGGGCCCCAGCAAACTTTCAGACTGCCAGCTGATGATTGGCTCACAGCGCCCCAGCAACATCTAGCTGATTGGCTCCTCTGCGGTGATGCTCATTGGGCTGTTTCCCTGCCCTTTCAGACCAGGGAGCTGCTCATTGGGGGACTTTTTTGGCTCCGCCCACACGACCCAGCCAATCGGCCTCAAGAGCAGGAGGATTGTGGGAGGTGGAGAGGCTTGAGGTTGAGAGAGAGGCTTGTGGGAAGCCTGTGGTGGCAGGTGGGCTCTGAGGGTTTTTCTCAGGAGCAGTTTTGTTTGGCGTGTGTGGTTCTAATCATTTCTTTTGACAAGTGGCTCCTGAATTGTGCCCAGCCAGACTGCGGCACATTTTATTAGGTACTAAATGTGATCTAGAGATGATTTAATGTATATAAGAGGATTGTGCAGCTTATATGGAAATACTATGCCATTATATAAGGGACTTGAGCATCTGCAGATTTTAGTATGTGTGGGGAGGAGAGTCCTAGAAAAAAAAAAAAAAACCCATGGATATCAAGGATGACTGTTTTATGCAGCTGTAAAATTAAAACATGGATGAACCTTGAAGACATTAAGCCAGAGAGAAAAGAATAAATACTGTGTGATTCCACTACATGAAGGCCTAGAGTAGTCAAATTCATAGAGATAGGAAACAGAATAGGGGCTATCAGGGACTGCAGAATAGAGAGAGTTGCAGTTATTATTTAATGGGTATAGAGTTTGAAACAATGAAAAGTTTTAGTGTACATGTTGTATGACACTGTGAATGTACTTGATGTCTCTGAATCATACATGCAAAATTGATTAAAATGGTAAAATTGGTGTGTTGCATATAATAGAAAATGTGTTTTATATGTATGTATGCATATATAATGAAAGAGTATGATTTACCTATAAAATGGAAGAATGTGATAATATACATTTTCAAATGAAAAACAGAATAATATCCCATTGCTTATAAACAAAATAAATGGTGTGCATGTTTCTGTACGTGTGTGTGTGTGTGTGTGTGTGTATGCAAGTGTATACAAAAAGAAAATTTGGAAGGACTTGTGCTTTGGTTATCTCCAAATAACAGACCAGGATTGGGATAGACTGCAGCTTCCTTTCATGTTGTATTCTCTTCATTTCTTTATTCTTGGGATTCTTTTATGCATGTACTACTTTTGGAATTCTTAAAAGGCAGTAGAGGATAACAATGCTGTCACTGCCATATGGAGTCTGCATGAGGTTGTCCCACGTGACCTGGGCCCACAGCCCAGGCAGATCCTCTCACCCTGCGGACCAGGCCTGCCCTGCTTACCACCAGCAAGGAGAACATGGTCTGTCCCACGTTGAAGCCGTGCCGCCAGTTGTGGTAGGTGATCTTGCGATAGCCCTTACTCAGGGAGTACATGAACCGCACCAGGGCCTGCGAATACACCCATGTCAGCGAGACAGTGCACACCTGCCCAGGTGTCCAGGGCTCTCCATTGCTAGAAGACACTAGGAGGTGGGAACTAGCAACAGATGTGGAAATGCTATGAAAGCACTTTGCTCCATGCTATGAAGATGTCTGTTGTTGCTAGAAACAAAGTAAGAGAGAATCATCCCCCTTATCCCGCGGGTCGAGCGTCCATCAGTGATTCCCAAATTGTGCCTCAGAGAGCAATTGTCCTCAGAGACACAGGTGCTTCACAGCAGCAGCAGCAGCAGCAAAAAAGGGTTCTTTAATCCTGTGGTTCTCCAATTTGTGAGAACATCAAAATTACCTTAGAGGGTTTATTAAAATCGGTTCTAGGGGTGTGTGTGTGTGTGTGTGTATGTGTGTGTGTGTGTGTGTGTATGAGAGAGAGAGATAGAGAGAAACTTCTTAGATGGTGCTGATGTACTCTGAAGCAACACTTTGAGAACCATTACTTAATGAAAGTCTGGGAAACTCTGAAGACCATGCATACCTCCCATCCCACTGTCTTAGCCAGTCCCCATCACCCAGACTCAGTGAACACTCATAAGGAATCCTGCAGGGAAAGAGCCCTGATTAAAATGGATTTAGCCCACGTTTCCCACCCTGGTCAGATATCTATTTTTTCCCTGCCTTCAGAACGCAGTGCTCAGAACCCACTGCAAGAAACCAAAGCTCTGAAGATCCCAAGTTCAGAGGAACAGCGTGTCTCTTTTCTAATAAAAAATTCAACCATGCAACATGACGACTGCTTTAAACCCCAAACACCTGAGGGCACACTCTTTTAAAGGTACTTTACAAATGGAGGGATCTTTATTTATTTTTTTCCTAAGCAAGGGGGAAAAAAAAAAACGGAAAAATCACAGATGTTTGTTTTGATCTCACCTCTTGTGGAATGTGGAATTTCTCCACCACTTTGAGCTCATAATACATCTGTATTCCACATTTCACCAGCTCCAGTTCTGTGAGGGGCAAGTCACTGAAGTGGAATTTATTAATTTCATATTTCTCTACATCTGGCAGCTCTCCCCGCTGAAAAAGGAATGGAGTCAAGGGATTAGGGGATAGGAAGTGTTCCTGGGTCCCCCTGCTACCCACCACCCTGTTTCCATCCTGGGGTCCTGGGAGGATCAGAATAGAGTGGTAGGAACACGCTTTGAAGAGAGTAACGCACACACGCTCAGGAGCACCCTGAGCAGATAACACATCAGGGCCTGTTCTGTGCCAGCTCCTCTTACCAGGATCTCAGTTAGCTCCTCTTCCTCACAATCCCATGGCTCCTTCCCATACACCTCTCTGGTTTTCTGCCAGCCCCAAAACAGGAGAGAAAAAGAAATGTTATTATATTGAAAACTTGATATGCCTCCACTTTTCCATTTCCATTTTTCCCCTTCCTTCAAAGTCTTTGCATCAGAACCACCCACTCAAAGAAACTGCCATTCAACATTCATTGATGAGCATATTCAAAGTCACGGGATTTGGCGCTATGGAGACCTGCATCCAAATTTCAGCTCTGCATTATCAAATGCATTTGAAGCTCAGTTTCTTCACCTATAAAATGGGGATAATTAAAGCCTTTAACCAGTAAGTTAAAATTTGTGCAATCGGACATTGTAGCACATACAGCACATATCAATTGTGCAAGGTAATTTTTTTTTTCTAATTTTTATTATTTTTTTTCCAGTACTGGGGATTGAACCCTAGGGTCCTCTACCACTGAGCTACATCCCAATTCTTTCCTTTTATTTTATTTTACTTTTTAATGTGATAGGGTCTTTCTCAGTTGCAAAGGCTGGCTTCTGACTTGTGATCCTCCCACCTCAGTCTCTCCTGTGGTTGGGATGACAGGTATGTACCACCACCTCCAGCCACAGAGTCATTTTTTAAAAAATATGCACAACTGAATTAAATAATGCATGTAAAGCACTTAGCATGGTATGTGGCACATAGTATGCACCAAAATAAAATAATGCTGCTAATATTTTTATTGTTTTAATTACTGACTGAGAGTAAGAAGGATTTGGCCATGATCCTGGCACTTTCTCTCTGGGTGACTTCTCTCTCTGGGCTTATTCCCTAGATGCCAGAGGAGCAGGGAACCTGGACCCAGTTATTTGTTTCTGATTTCTTGGCTCAGAGTAAAATCTGTTAGCTTTCAACTTAGGCTAAACCTCCATACATATCCATCATTTGACTGAAACTTATGAACTGAGTCAAGCTAACCATGAGGAAAATCATCCAAACTGGATATTTTGTCCTCAGAATTTATCAGATATTGGTATTAAATGATCAATTTGTTACATTATTTTCACAGCTTAAGAAACTTTCTTTGAGAATACTGACCTATGTTTTTTTCAATTTGAGAGGTCTATAAGCCAAGGTCTTGGGAGCTTGGCTGGGCATCATAGCCAATACCACTTGGCTAACTCAGTGTACTATTAAGACCTTGGTCTCTTTAAGACCAAAACCTCAGGAACAATGAATCAACAATTCTCACATATCCTTGAAAGCATTTAGTCCAATTTCCCACTCCAGGGAGCAATGTTCTCTACAGCATCCCTGATACATGCTATCCAATGTCTATGTGGATAACTCTTATGTTGGGGTGCTCATCACCTCCTGAGACAGCCCATTCATGAGAGAAGTGGAGAATTTATTCATTATTATGATAAAGGTTAAGTGAGACCTATTCACAGTCTAGGTGATTTGGGGACAAGTTCTTTCCACTTTGGGGGCCTTGATTTCTTCATTTTTTTACAATAAAGATAGAAATCTTTATCCTGCCCATCTTATGGGACTAATAACTTGAAAGCATCAAAAAAGAGCCCAAATGTGAATTTGCTTTATAAACTGTAAAGTGATAAGGACTCCTTATTCATTATGAACTACTTCTTTGCACACCAAACTCTTCTGTGACTTTCTTGGGTCTTCTGTGAGCTAACCACAGAGTGAGGCTCTGAGAAACTGACCATGGTCCATTGGTCTATATCAGATAAGGCTTCTTCTCATATTAGGGGCTATGTTGGTTGATCTTGTCTCCAGTACAAAGTCAACACTGGATTCAGTGAAAAGTGGAGTTTCTAGAGCTCTTAAGCCAGGGTCAGGCCCCAGATTGAGATAACCCTGCAAGGGATACCTGTCTTCAGGCCACAAAGAGCTGTTAGTACGCACCACCTTCTGGGGACTCATCCATCCGTCATCTGAGGGCTGCCACATCTCTGTGCTAAGCTGGAGAGACATGACTGAGCAAACTCACACCCAAGCTGTGCCTTTGTGGACTTCAAGTCTCACTTCAACTCTGCTAGTCTCTACTAAGGTGAAATCAAGTAAAGAATATTACGCACCAAGATTTTCTGAATTTCTTCATTGTCACACTTTACATGATATTTTACAATGTCTTGGAAAATATCCTTCCGATTTTCAAGTTTGTTCATAGACTCATAGGTGTCAGGATTCAAGACAGACCAGCCCAGGAATTGAGTCAAAGACTGAAAAGAAAGAAAGGAAGAATCAGAGACAGAACACCCAGCTTTGATCCTGACTCTTAGAGCAAGACTCCCTGGGACTCTCTTTACTCAGCTATAACAGGGGTTGTGCGCGGCCCACAATGCAGAGCTGTTGTGAGGACAAGGTAAAACAATGGTGTGAATGCGCCTTCTTAAAGCACTAACAGACATTAAGCATCATTTTTATGTGTAAGAGCTTCACAAAAAGGGACTCTTCTTTGCCACATGGGGACAAGGACTATGTGCAAACTCTGTACTTTCTGCTCAATTTCTCTATGGACCTAAAACTACTCTAAAATATGGTATTTAAAAGCAGAATATGGATCTCTCTGATGACACGTGGGGCAGAAGCGAGAGTGAAGAAGGTGGTGGTCGAGGCTGCCTCAGGTGGCCTTCCTGTCGCAATGTGCAGCTCTGAAAGCCACACCTGGCCGCAAGCAGACTCTGAATCCCAGCTGCAAGGACCTCCCAGCACGCCATACCTCCATGAGGGTCTCATCCATTTCATCAAAGGGCTTCCCATCTTTGCGATTGTAGAACGTGGCCACCCCAACAATTTCTTCCTTCTTGTTCACAATCGGCATTGAAAGGACATTTTTGATCATCCATCCAGAATCATCCAGAGGCTCTTTCTAAAGAGAGGGGCAGATCTTAGGTTCTCTTCTGGGTCTGGGCTGTATAGGCAGCTGTGATGGACTCTGGGCTGTGGTGTGACCCTGATTGGCTGAGAGGGGTTGGCAAGAGGGTGGAGCTTGTTGGATTTTGTATGGATTTAGTATCAGCCACAGAAGCCTGAGCAAACAGCCCATCTGGTGGAGTGCCTGATACAAAACCAGGTAGCCACGTTGTCTCTGTCCCTGTGATCTCAGGGCTGTAGGTGCCTGGCAGTGGACTGTGTACCAGGGATACAGTAATGTGCAGAAACATGCCAGGGAGTGTAGTTCTCTTTCATATATAGGAGAAAACCACAGGGCACTGGCTGGCTTCAGAGAACAATTCTGGGTCAGTTGTGGCGGCACACGCCTGTGATCCCACTTGGAAGGCTGAGGCAGGAGGATCACAAGTACAAGGCCAGTCTCAGCAACTTAGTAAGACCCTGCCTCAAAACAAAAAAAAAATAAATAGCTCTGGGGGTATGGCTCAGTGGTAAAGAGCCGCTGGGTTCAACCCCCAGCACTGAAAAAACAAATGCTGGTGGTTTTCATAATTTTGAATGAATCACCTGGCTATATCCTCTAACTCTTTGCCCTTGGCCTGACTTTCTGTGTAATTTTGGCTTGGAATTTTATTTCCTTAGGCCTTGATTTTCCTACCTACAGATGGGGAAGAGTGTGTGCCTTGCTAAGCAATGAGGTTCTTGGTCAGCTGAGGATGCCTGTGGGGAGCCTTGCTTTCATCATTATCAAACAGAGATAACGTGACTCATTTCTAGATTCTATTTTCACTGATTCATCAATATTTACAATGTACAAGAAACCAAGCTACCAGCTGGGGATACCAAGGCAAGTAAGGCAGATGTTCCTCAGGTGGCTCATCTTCCGTAAAGTAAACCAGCAATGTCACTGCAGTGTGGTATTTTATGGTCCCCTAGGAGCCAGAGGAAAGACAGAAGTCAAGGAAGTAGGTATCTTTCCTGGAGTAGGTATCTTCCATTTCTGAATTGTCAAGATTCTTAAGGTGGTGAGATGATACTTGTTATTTGTATTTGAATAAACTGGAAAGTTAAAAAAAAAAAGCACAGATTTTTCTTGAGTGATTTTTATCTCCTTCTTAATTGTGTCCTGATTGCTAATGATTTGTTTTTCTTATGGTTGGCATGCTCAACCCAAAGAACATTGACAAGACATCTAGAGCTGAGGATGTCAAGAAAGGTAAGAACCAACCCTTCCTTGATCAAAGAAAGCCAATATTATACTGGCAGAAATTAGTCCAAGGCAAAACTAAGGATAATAAAAGATGAAATAAGGGGAAAATAGTAAGAGAGACGAACTCTCCTTTGGTATGCCCTTCCAGGCCCTGTACGATCTGTTTTTTATCCACTTCTCTAGAATCGGCTCCTGCCACACCTTCTCAGTCTCTCACTCAGCAAGTCTCTCACTTGCTGGCCAACGCTATCCCTTCCAGTTATCCGTCTCTTTGCTGCAGCCTTCTCCCCTCTCCTTACTCACAAATAATTTCCTCAAGGACATGTTCCTTGATTTCTCTCAGGTCAGGTCAGGGCTCCTGAGAGTTCCTCTCCACATTCTCTATCCTCTATCTTCCTTCCTTCCTTCCTTTTTTGGTACTGGGGATTGAAGCCATGGGTGCTTAACCACTGAGCCACATCCCCAGCCCTTTTTAAATATTTTATTTAGAGACAGGGTCTCACCAAGTTGCTAAGTGCTTCACTAGGTTGCTGAGGGTGTCTTTGAACTCATGATCCTCCTGCCTCAGCCTCCCGAGCTGCTGGGATTACAAGCCTGTGCCATTGCACCAGGCTAGCCCCTACATTTCTACTGACCATTACTCAGGTGTCTCTCTTATGAGCCCCACGAAGACAACCACCAGGTCTCTCTGTTCCACTATGGTAGCCAGAGTAGATTGTGCCAAAGCCTGGCCCAGAAGATGGCTTCCACCAGCATTTCTTACATGATAAAAGCCAAAGCCGAATGGAATTCTAAACGATATTCCATGCACTTTTCAAAAAGAAATTATACACAGCCACAAAAATCAGAATAAAACTTCATAGAAGTGGTAGCATTTGAGATTGTTACTGAAGGACACGGGGAATTTGGACAGGAGAGGGTGGTGGCTGAGAGAACAGCATAAGTGAAGGTCCTGAGGCCAGAAGGCAAAGAGTGCGAGTGTTGAAATAGAACAAGACCTTGGAATTGGCCCAGCCAGCTCCCTCCCCACCTCCACTGGCACATGGCTTTTTTCCATCCTGGTTTCACTCCATTTAGACGGCTTCCCAAGGAAGCAGGTGGATTCGAATGGAGAAGGAAGTCATGTGACTAAGAGAACAAATCCAAAACGACTTACCTGAAATGCAAAAAGGTCCTCGGCAGGTGCATTCATGATATTGCAAATCTAAAAGCAGTGGAGGGAAGAGGGACTGCCATTAGCCCCGAGGGGCACCTGGTAAAGGGCCTGCTCTTTTCACAAACACCATGTCCTTGCCAACAGCATTCACATTTTTTTTCACAGGTAGCTACACCGGAGATCCTTTTGGATTATTAAGAGAGGATACTGGAAAGAAAAGTCCCCTTGTAAACCTTACTTCTCAGGATTGTCTCCACCTCGAATTATTTCTAAACTTTGCAAAAATTAAGGGTACAAGCTGCCGTACCCTTAATTTCAAGCTTCCAGTCTGAGAGTGCTGCCATCATTTTGCCGTTCCTCTTTTGTTGAGCATTTGGGTTGTATCCAGGTTGCTTTTTCTATATGCAAAACATATTTGATTCATGTACATTTGGGGTTCTGTTTTGCTTTCTTGGGCAGGAAGGCATTTTTCCTTGGGGTAGAAACCTCAAAGTAGAACAAGAAATGGCAGGTGTTGTAATTTGGCTTCTACATTGCTAGATTTCTCTTCCAAAAAGATGAGAATAGAAAAGGAACCAAATGACACTTATCTGATCCCTCCTGCGGCTGGCCGCCGTTGCAGTTGGGTAGTATACATACTGCACCTGCTGAGGGGCGGCTGGCCCTGAGATCCAGCCTGGGCTCTGCTGGCAGAGCCATGCTCCTGACCTCGCTGTAGTCTTCCCTTGAGAAGAGGGCCTGCTTTCACTTCTCAAAAGGCTACTACATGGGCTTGCAGCAACCCTGCCCGTCAACACAGACGTGGACTGTCTGGTGTCAGAGGCTGAGCTGCCCAGATCCTGTCCAAGGACTGCCTACTCACTCTATCATCCTCCTGCCTCTCCTTGGACCTGGTCCGTCCATTCCCATTGTTCTCTCCTGGTCAGCAACCTCTCCGAGGGCCCTTTTCCCTCAGCCCACGAGCTAGCTTGGGTATCTCCCATCCTCAAAATGCTTCCCTCACACAGCGTGGTCTCCATAGCAACCACCCACAGGTACTCTCCCTTTTTCTCTTGCCTTCTCTACCTTTTACTGCACACCACTTCTCAGTGGACCACATGCTAGTTTCTGCCTCCACTTTGCCACCAAATTTGCTTTTATCTGGGCCACCAAGACCTCTTAATTGACAAATATGATGGGGCCTTCAGTTCTTGTCTCACCAGATCACTGTGCTGCATTTGGTCTATCTGCCTGTCTTTCTTTCTCGTTTCCTTTTTTTTTTTTTCTTTCTGCATTGGGGTCTGAATCCATGTGCTCATGTGGGGCAAGTGCTGTACCACTGAGCTACATCCCCAGCCCTTTTTATTTTAGACAGAGTCTCACTGTGGAGAGAAGTGATTTGAACCCTGGTCCCTGATTCCCTTATGGCTGCATTTGCTCTGGGAGCTGACTGTGCAAAAGTGCAGGTCAAGACTCCCCAGTTGCTATGGTAATGCCGGCCAGGGGTGGCTATGTGCAAAGGTGTGTGGCTCTAACAGTCAGAACCTTGGATTCAGACACCAACTCCCGGGGGTAGAGAATTCTGGGCATAACAAGATGACCTCTATGTCTCCCAAGTTTCGCTGCATCCTTCAGACTACCTGCTCTGCTAAAACTGTCTCACAAATAACCTTCTGATGACAAAACCTGTATAATAAATGTGCTGAGCTAGCTCTGGTGTCAAACAAGCCTCACCAGGCCATGGCTTAAACCACCTGGCCCCAGATTTTTCTCTATGTGTGTCTGTTTGTCTTTTCTTCATCCTCTCATCATCCCTCCAATGTCTGAATTAACTGACCAGACTGGCCTTGAACTCGGAATCCTCCTGCCTCAGCCTCCGAGTAGCTGGGAGGATGGATGTGCACCACCACACCTGGCTGGTCTCTCTCCTTGTTGAAACTTTCTACTTCTTTGGTTTCCATGACTGCCTCTCCTGGGTCTGCAAACACCTCTGAATTCTCCTCCTGCTTCCCCCCTTTACATACACCCCTTTCTCTACCTGCTCTGGAAATTCTGAAATCCTCCAATATTGCACCCTGGGAACCCACTGCTCCTCACATCTCCCTGGGTGACTTTGTCAACACCATAGTTTCAAATACTACCTGGTCCTGATAGCTTCCTAATCCACCCCTCCTCTCTCTCCATAGCGTGGGGACTGTACTTTTATCTACCTGATGATCACTTGCTCCTGAAGAATGTCTCAATCTCACCTTGTTTAAAGCTGACCTCCTCATCTTACATCCAAACCTGATGGCAGCACTCTCAGTCTGGAAGCTTAAAATGAGCTCTGACTCTTCTCTCTTCCATCCTCTCTGCTCCCCACCAAGGCTAAGTCCTGCTAGTTTTGCCCTCTGGATATCAGGTCAGCCTTTTATCTCCTTATCATCTTGTCTTTGTTGAATATTGTATTAAAAGAGAACATCTATGTGGTGCATCATTGTAGCACTATGTAGATGGCCATGGGCAGTGATGACAGTATTCTTCACGGTGACTGCATTTGTTGACATTCTCCTCATCCCTTACTTGAATCATGCACTGGTCACTCTGCCTCCAGTCCTAGTTCTTCTGATCCATTTTCTATGGACCTGCCAGCATTATCCTGCTAAAATGAAAAGCAGGGCTGGGGAGGTAGTTTAGTGGCACAGCACTTGCCTAGCATGCACCAAGCCCTGGGTTCAACCTCTGGTATTGCAAACAACAACAATAAGACCCAAAGAAATAAGATGAAAAGCATCTGTACTGGTCTCCTGCTTTAAAAGCCATCACCTGTAGATTCAAGTCCTACCCTCTGGACATGGCATCCAAAGCCTTATCTGGCCCCCTCTCTCCCTGTCTTGCTGTCTTAAACTTAACACAGCAGCAACACTAAACTGCACACAGTGTGCTGCTCCAAACTCCTATGCCCATGTTGCTTGTCCATAGTTTGGATATGGATTGAAAAGCCAATATACTAAAGGCTCTGCCCCCAACTCAGGGATCTTAGGAAGTGATGGAAACTATTGGGAAGAGGTGGGACCTAAGTGAGAGGTCTTACGGACATTGGAGGGCGTGTCCTTGAAGGGGATTGTGGGACCCACCGCTCCTCTTTCTCTTCTTTGCCTCCTGGCCATGAGGTGAGCAGCTTAGCTCCACCTTAAGCTTTCCACCATGATGTATCACCAGAGGCCCCAAGGCAACAAAGCCAACCAACCACGGGCTGAAACCAAAATAAAACTCTCCTTTTTATAAGCTGATTATCTCAGGGTTTTGTTACAATAATGGAGAGTTGACTGACACCCATGAGGTTTCCTCTACCTGGAATCCTGTTTCCTGCCCCCACCTGCCTAAGAACTAATGATTTCAAATTCAACTCAGACCAACACACTCTAGGAAATGAAGACTGGTTTATGAGTCCCCTATTCTGTATCCTCTATCGTGGCTTTATCACATCGCAGTATAAATATCTGTTAATAAAGGCATCTCATCATTCGATTATGAGTTTCAGAAGAGAAACAGTACATCATGGTCCATCTACCTTTACATCCTCAGAGCCTATGACAGTGTCTGTAATAGAAAATGCTCAATAAATAAACACCTTGCCACAGGGCACCATTGTGTAGTATGTTCTGGGGAAAGGATATAGGCGTGACCAGGACCAAATATGGGGGTGATGTGCAGCAGACATGACCCTAATCTCGGGCGCAGGAGACACCACTGCTTCACCCTTGGCCTTAGTGAATGGGGCAAGGTGGGAGGTAAAGCTCTGGAGCTCTGCTTTGTGTGACATGGCTGGAAACAATGGGGATGGGAGGTGGACAATGGCAATTAAGTCTGACATGAGATTGAGACTTAGTCCCTGGGGAGCCTGGTAGACCACCCAGTCATGACTTTGTCCCTGACACATTTGTCAGTGACCATCTTTTCATCTAAAGATTATTTCTCTGCGTTTCATATTTGCCCAAATGTCAATTCTCTGTTTATCTCTAGGGACCTTCTATCGAGTAAATTGAAAAACAAGAGACTCGGGCTTTGGAGATCCACACTTCCCCCCATTTTTTCCACTTGCTGCATCCGAAATCCCTTCATTCTTTCATCTCAATCAAACTTTTCCCCTTTTCAAGTTGTGTTACTTACCAGGCCATTTTGGGCAACATAAGTGGGGAGACCACTTACTAAAGCCCAGTGGTCAGGAGGTGGATTCCTGTAAAGACAAATGGTGAAGTTCAATGTAGGGTCTTTTGGGGACCGAAGAAAAGTGACAACATCCATTTCACAGATTATTATTGACTGCTGAGCAAAAACACAAACCATTACTTTCCTCATGGATTTAGTAGCTTCATACTATATAGAGAGTTGAAAATTCATCTACAGTGAGCTCCTGCCAGGCACTAGTGACTAAGCTAAATGCTTTATATTTGGTGGAGATAATAATAATATTATAATTTTTGGTACTATAGTTATGTGTCATAAATGATGATGTTTTGGTCAACAGTGGACCACACATATGAACAAAGTCCCATAAGATCATATCATCTAGTGATGTCATAGCCATCTTACTTTGTGTAAGCACACTCTATGATGTTCACACCATGACAAAATTGCCCAGCATTTCTCTAAACGTGTCCCCTTCCTAGCTGCGTGCAGTGGTACACACCTGTAACCCCAGCAACTTAGGAGGCTAAGGCAGAAAGATTGCAAGTTTAAGGATGGGCTCCGGAACTTAGAGAGAGGCTATCTCAAAATAAAAATGAGAAAGGCTGGGAATGTGGCTCAGTGGTAGTGCACACCTGGGTTTAATCTCCAGTACAATAAGCAACTAATTAACTAAATCAATGTGTCCCCTTTCTTAAGTGATGCATAATTTCATTACTTTTTGATTGTTTATTGGGAGAAAAATATGCAGAGAAAAATGCATTAAAATTCATTGAGCATTAGAATACGAATACATATGAAGCCATATAGATGTCAAGAACAGCATTCTCAGCACCTTGGAGATCCCTGACATGCCCCTCCCAATCATAGCCTTCTCCCTAACCCCAAACGTAATAATTATTCTAGTATGATCATTACACTCTTGCTTTTCTTCAGTTGTACCACCTAAGTATGATGTCTTATACCTTCTAATTTGATTTTGCCTGTTTTCCAACTTCATTTAGATAGAATTACACAATGTATAATTATTTTATTCTATCTGGATCCTTCTCCTTTTCATTTATCTTCTTCTTTTGCAGAACTGGGAATTGAATCCAGGGGCCTCTACCACTGAGCTACACCCCTAGTCCTTCATATTTTCTATTTTAAGTCACCCCTAGTCCTTCATATTTTCTATTTTAAGACAAGTTGCCTAGACTGGCCTTGAACTTGTAATTCTCCTGCCACCACACCTGGTTGGCTTCTTTTTCATATTGCTATAATTCATTCATTTTATTGACATGCAATTTCCCCATGCAGAACAATAGAACAATTTATCCATTCAAGGGTTGATGGGCATCTCCTCTGTCAATGTAAACAGATAATGTGAACAGTGCCTCTAGGAACACTCCAATAAGTATATGCTCTCACTTTTATATGGCATATTCCTAGGAGTAGAAATACTGGGTCATAAGATGTTCATATCTCAGCTGGGTATGGTGGTGCATGCCTGTAATCTCAGTGATGTGGGAAGCTGAGGCAGGAGGTCACAAATTTGAAGGTAGTCTTGACAACTTAGTAAGACCCTATAGCAAAATAAAAATAAAAATAGCTAGGGAGGCAGCTCAGTGGCAGAGTACACCTGGGTTCAATCCCCAGGATTGGAAAAAAAAAATTGTGCATCTCTTCAAAGGTCAAACTGCTTTCCAAAGTGATTGACACTCCCATCAGGGGGAGTTACCTTTGCTCTAAGTCTCTGCCAGTACTTAGTATTTCCATGCTTTTTAATCATAACCCTTCTGGTGGATTCTAATGGTGACACATTGTGGTTCTCTTTTTCATTTCTCTGCAAAATTAATGAAATGGAGTCTCTTCTATAAATGTATTTGTCACTGTGCTGGGGGATTAGCTCAGTGGTAGGGCACTTGCCCTACGTGCTAAGCGAGCGGTCTACTGCTGAGCCACAACCCCAGCCCATTACTGATTATTTTTTGTTTGTGTTTGTGCTTTCTGAGATACGAGGGATTGAACCCACAGATGCTTTGTTACTGAGCTACATCTCCAGTCTTTTTTCTTGAGACAGGGTCTCATTAAGTTGCTGAGGCAGGCCTTGAACTTGCCATCCTCCCAACTTAACCCCCAGCTACTGGAATTACAGGTGTGCACCACCGCATCCAGATTCTGATTATTTTTTTGTAATTGGAATTTCATATTTTTATTATGAGCAAAGGACATTCCCAGTATGATTTCAATCTTTTGAAAGTTATTAAGGTTTGCTTTATGGATCAGTATATAAGCAAATATTATAAACATTGCCTATATGCTTGAAAAAAACTGAGTGTTCTATACTTTGGGAGGTTGGGAGCAATGTTCTCTATAGATGCATTAGGTTATGTTTGCTATCTGTGCTATGCAGATATTGTATACTCTGTCCTACTCTCCTCCTAGTGACTAGTGAACCTGTATTTGTCTATATATTCTTGTATTTTGGCCAGTTTTTGCTTTATATTTTTTAGATATATGCAAATTTAGGAGTATAATGTCTTCCTGTATGATCAAAGTGGATTGATCCCTTTATTATTAAGAAGGGACTATCTGGGTGCAGGTTGTGGCTCAGGGGTAGTGCACTTGCCTAGCATGTGTGAGGCATTGGGTTCAATCCTCGGCACCACATATAAATAAATAAAATAAAGGTATTGTGTTCGTCTACAACTAATATTTTTAAAAAGGGACTACCTTTATCTCTATTAATGTTATTCAGTATAACATCTTTTTAAATTTCATATTAAATAGTTTCACCAGAGCTGAAGTGCAGCTCAGTGGTAAGGGCATGCTTAGTGTATGCACAAGTCCCTGGGTTCAATTCCTAGCACTAAAAAAAAAAAAAAAAAGCATAATATAGTTATGCCAGTTTTCTTTTGGTTAGCATTCATATGATGCATCTTTTTAAGCTTTTATTTTCAACTTCTTTATTCTTATCCTTCCAATAAGTCTTCTATAGCCAGGCACATTTGCACATGCCTGTAATCCCAGCCTTAGGAAGCTGAGGCAGGAGGATCCCAAGTTTGAGGCAGGCCTAAGCAAGTTATCAAGACCCTGTCCCAAAATAAAAAATTAAAAGGCAGGGGTGTATGTAGCTCAGTAGTAGAGTGCCCCCGGGGTTCAATCCCCAGTACTGGACAAGGTATATGGTATTTCATTGTATCTAGGAAGTAATATGTGTGTGTGTGTGTGTGTGTGTGTGTGAAAGAGAGAGAGAGAGAGAGAGAGAGAGAGAGAGAGAGAGAGAGAGAGAGAGAGAGACTAGGAACTGAACCAGGGCTTCTCATATGCTGGCAAGCGCTCTATTACTGAGATACATCTCCTCTCCAGTCCTTTTTGTTTTGAGACAGGGTCTCGATAAGTTGTCCAGGCTGTTTTTGAACCTGTGATCCTTCTGCCTTAACTTCCTCATAATTATAGGTATACACCACTTTGTCCACTGGAAATAATCATTTTTTAGGAACCAATTTTTTTGTGTGACGGAGAAAGATAAAATGCTGCCGATTGATCTGCGTTGTAGTGCTTTTCACTTGAAATTTTATTTTTACTGTGCCATTCAAGACAACTTTTGTTTCAATACCCCTAGAGCAAAATCATTTTCTTTTCAGTATGGGGGATTGAACCCAGGGGTGCTCTACCATTGAGCTACATCTCCAAATATTTTTATTTAGAGACAAGATCTCTCTAAGTTTCCCAGGCTGGCCTCAAACTTAGGATCCTCCTGCCTCAGACTCCTGAGTGACTGGAATTAGTCATATTACTGTACCCGGTTCATAGCATTGTCTCTTCCAGATACTTTTTTTCTTTTCTTTTGGTGCCAGGGATTGAATCCAGGGGTGCTTAACTGCTGAGCTGCATCCCCAGCCCTTTTTATTTTTTTTTATTTTGAGGCAGGGTCTCCCTAAATTGCTTAGGGCCTCATTAAGTTGCCGGGACTGGCTTCGAATTTGAAATCCTCCTGCTTCAACCTCCTGAGTCACTGGGATTACAGGCATGCACCACCACACCCAGCTCTTCCTGTTACTTTATGTGGCAATTAAATTCCCTGTGGATAGCATCCAGTAGTGGTTGCTCAACACTAACTCAAGTGAAGTTATATATGCTTATGACCAAGTTCACACATACACAGGCAAAGATAACTACGTGGAGACTGCTGTGTGGCTCACAGCAACTGTACAATATCATTGATTTTGCTTCATAAATGTCAAAAAGTAGAAACTTGTGCCTCTCAGAATCAATGAAATGCAATAGGTTTTTTTCCTTATCCAGTCTGTCAATCTTTATTCTATAGATAGAACATCTAGTTGATTTATAGTTAAAGAAACTATTGCTATATTTGGATTTAAATATCAATTTTACTTGTACTTTCTATTTTTCCTACCTTTCAGTTTTTTCCTAAACCCATATTTGGCCTTCTTTTGGTTAGATGAATTATTGATTTACTGTTCAGTTTTCCCCTCTGTTAGTGTGAGTGGCAAATGCTGTGAGCCATTCAGAGTATTTATCAACATCCTGGCTGTCCTTCTTCTGGGCACATAGTCGGGTTGCACTGTCTATCCCTTGAAGTTAAGTATGACTGTGTGACTAGCTTTGGCCATTGAAATGTGAGTGAGTGGAAGTGATGTGTCACCTTCAGATGGACACTTTACAAGCCAGGGTGTTTCCTCATTTCTCTCTTTCCTCTGGGTTTGAAACTTCAAGGTTCAAAATGATAGCTGATATATCAGCTTTGGTCCCTGTCTGACCACAATTCCATTCATTATAGCTCCAACCACACCCACCAAATGGCAATGGCAACACAGGGGATGGGACAATAAAACTCTGTTGTTTATAACATGGAGATCTCAAGGTCTTGTTACCACAGCACAACGTAGCCTATCCTGCTGATTCAAAATTTATATTAGGCGGGCATGGTGGTGCATAACTATGATCCCAGCTACTCAGGAGGGTGACGCAGGAGGATTGCAATTCACACCAGCCTGGGTAATTTAGCAAGATCCTGTCTCAAAAACCAAACAAAATACTGGGGAATGTAGTTCAGTGGTAGAGTACCCCTGGATTCAATACCAAGTTTAGCCAAAGGGGAAAAAAGTATTAGAAACAGAATACTGCCATTAAAAAAAAGTCTAAAATAGGTTACTTTTGTGGAAGGTAATGCTAACAGAGGCTAGTCAGATGTGATGTTTGACAAGTGATGATAAAACATGGGGGAGCTAGTTACTGACCACTGATCATTTCCAACCCAGGGAATGAGTTTAATAAACTTGTAGTTCTAGAAAAGGGGTTAGAAAACAGAATGGCAGATGAATATGCATTTGACAAGGTTAAAAAGAAGAGATGAGCTCAGACCAGAATCAGAGTCAGTTCTTACTCAAGCAGGAATGGAAGATAATAAAAAAAACTAGAAACAGAAGAACTTGACACAACTTCTCATCCTCAACTAGCAAAAGATAAAAAATCGTTAGTTTTGGTCTGGTGGCCAGGGTACAATCAGCGTTTCCAATTACACCCGCAGTTTGAGGATTGGTTTGAGGATTAGGACAATATAGAGTCAGTCCCTTCAGGTGAACTAGAGGTCAGGGGAAAGAGACAAAAGGCACGACTCTCTCACAGAGCTTGACTGCAGTCTCAAGGATCGAGCAAGTAAGTTGAGAAAGAGAGCCCTGTCTCAAGACAGCTCTGTGGGTGTGGATCCTGGAACAAGGAGAGGATTCAAATAGATAAGAAGGTGACAAAGTTTTTGCAAATGCTCTGCAGGCAAGAGATCAGGTCAATGCTACAAAGGGCTGCCAATGTTTAATTCTTTTTTTTCTTTTCACGGTCCTGAGTTTTGAACCCAGGGGTGCTCTACTACAGAGCTACACTCCCAGCCCTTTTAATTTTTTTATTTTCAAATGGGATCTCGCTGAATTGCCCAGGCTGGCCTTGACTGTAATCCTCAAACCTCAGCCTCCTGGGTGGCTGGGATTACAGGAGTGCACTGTTCAATTCTTCAACAGTCTTTGAGTCCCTGCTACCTACAATCAGGTTCTATAGAGTCCTTTCCTGTCCTCTTCATTATCCTTCTTGGTCACATTTGAAGAGAATAGTAGAAAATAACCTTTCCTTCTGGCTGAGTCACTTTCTTTGCCAGTATCATGCTTTTGCACTCCATTCTTGGACCCCAGAAGCAGCTCCTTGGAAAACTACTGAAAAGTCCTGATCTGCCAGGTGTGGGGGCACACTCCTGTAACTTAGCAAGACGCTGTCTCAAAATAAAATTAAAAGGGCTGGGGATGCCACTTTATGCTAGAGTGCTTGCTTTGCATATGGGAGGCCCTGGGTTTGATCCTCTAGACTGTAAAAAAACAAACAAACGAAAGAAAGACAGGGAAGGAGAGAAAAGAACACACCCTGACTTGATCCCATACACTGATTCCATAGATGGGAAACTGAGGCCCCTACAGCCTACTTATTAACACTGGCTCTGAGCCTGGAACTCAGAACCCCTGATTAACAACTGGCCCCTTGCGACTTGGATGAAATCCCTTCCCCTATCAGGTCTCATCTCCTACCCTGCGTCATTACCTTTCCACAATGCCTCCACTGCTTTCTCTGCCTCTAACCAAGAGCCTGGCTACGTTGGGTTGGGTTGCTGTTCATCCGGGAATGAGTATCCTATGGACGTAGGTAAGGTGCCCACAATTCTGCATGTTTTGAGATGAAACTTACGGAATTACTTTGATGTCTTCTTTGCCATGCAGGATGTAGTCAATGACCTTGTAAAAGTTAATTTCCTGGCAAAATAGATAGAAAAATAGTACATTAAGATTGAGAGACAGAACTTCAAAAGGAGTGTGACCATGAGACAGATCTTGCTGTTTTTGATGTTGTTGTTTTAGAGGGAAAAGAACACACAGGATTTGTTACATGCCCAGGGCAGGGGAGTACTGGACTCCCAGATCTTGTTCTGTCACTTGCCCTGTGGTTTTCAGGAAGCACCCAGCTTGCCATGCCTCCCTCTGAGGGTGCTCCCTGCTAGCTTCTGGTGATCACTGTCCTCAGCTGACCCTCAGGATTCAGTGTGCTTCTCTGTGCAACCAGCTGACAGTGGGATCTGAGGCTGAGAAGAGGGATGGGACCTTTTCCAAGGGGATCTGAACTTGGAGGGCAAGAAGAAAGAGATAAAGACTGCTGCTAGAGTCCAGAAAAGGGAGGGGAAGGTGAACGGAGGTTCCCATCCATTTAGAATGATAGTTCACCCAGCCAGCCTCCACACAGGGGGCCTCCTTGGCTCTGGCCCCCTTTCTCCTCCACACCTACCATCAGCTGACTTTTTGCTGTGTCATTTCCGTCCTAGATATTTAAATGTAGATACGTGGGTGCAACCCCAGTCCTCCAGGCTCAGAGAATTCCTGACCCAGGCAAGAATGTCTGAATGCCCATTTGGTGACAGGAAAGTGATGATCATGACCTTCTTCAGCCTCCTGCAATTGAGGCCTTGCTCCTTAAAGCCCACTGCTGGTCATGGTGCCGGGACTGAACATTTCCAAGAGGCAAACTTGGACCAACAAAGGCAGAGCTTTTGCACTGCCCCAATGTGTAGGCTGCCCTGGGAGTGGAGAGCTCCCCAGGATAGGAAGCATCGAAGTGGGAGGCGAGGTGACCCCACAGCATAAGGACTGGCATGGAGCTAGGACTCCACTGAGTCGAAAAGACTGGGTCCAGTCTTGGTTGTATGATGCGCGCTCTCTGGCCTCAGTGTCTCCAGCTGTAACATTAAGTTAGTGTTCGAAGCTGTTGCTAAGCAGCAGACCTCTTTCGCCAAACAAAGCTCAGGATCTTATCACATAAAGTACATAAAATAGAAGCCAAGTTGGATACACAGGTCCTGTAGCTCTCTGTGTTCTCTCCCACTCCTATTCCTCACCTCCTCCTCTCTGTTTTCTCCTGGTCAAGGCAGCTGCTGCCAACTTTTACTGTTTTTTTGTTTTGTTCTGTTGATTTTTTTTTTTTTTTTGGCACTGGAGATTGAACCCAAGGGTGTTTAGCCTCTGAGCTACATCCCCAGTCCTTTTTTATATTTTATTTAGAGACAGGGTCTTGCTAAGTTGCTTAGGGCCTTACAAAGTTGCTGAGGCTGGCTTTGAACTCATGATCCTCCTGCCTCAGCCTCCCGAGCCACTGGGATTACAGGAGTGTGCCACCGTGCCCAGTCAACTTGACTGTTTTAAAGGCAAATGGAAGAGATTTAAAAAAAATGGACTGGATAATCTTTAAAGTTCTTCCCAGCTGTGACCCTAAGAATGCAGTTGAATAGTTAGCAATATCCCTCCAGATTAAAATGCACATTTCTTTTAAGCTAGTGACTCCACATATGGCAGTGATCCTGTAGATACATCCCCAACTATGAGTGGAAGTATGGTTTGCCCCATCCAGGGGTCTCATCCACACTGCTCTAAAAAGCCTGGAGATTTCTAAGTACATATACATGAATTTGCCATAGTGAATTTCACCTTTATGTATCTCCATAGCATGCAAATTTTAAAAAAAGCAATAAATAAATACAAGAAAGATCAAGAAAGAAAAGGGAACAGAGGATGGAGGCGGAGAGGGAAGGGAAAGTACTGGGGACTGAATTGAGCAAATTTTATCTTATGTTGGTATAATTAAGTCAAAATGAACCCCAATATAATGTATAACTAAAATGAACTAATAAAAAATAAAATAAAACAAAAAGCCCGGAGACAGTTGTGTATCTATCATTAGGAAGGGGATTAAACAAAATTGAGTACAGATGCTTTTCAATCTGTGCTGGATTCCATCCTAATAGACCCATTGTAAGTTGGAAATATCATTAAGTCAAAATGCATTAAATTCACCCAACCTACTGAACACTCTAGCCTAGCAACAGGAGTGTCAGCAGTTTACCTTCATGACCCCGGGGGCTGGCTGGAGCCATGGCACCCTGCTGCTGCCCGGCATTGTGAGTGAATACAATACTGTATGGTGCTAGCCCAGGACAGAGATTCAAATTCAAAGTTCAGTTTCTACTGAATGAAGATCACTTTCCACCATCCTAATGTCAAAAAATTGTAAGCTGAACCATCATAAGCCACGAACTATCTGTGCCCATACAGGGATGATTAGCAATTTTCCAGCTGCACCTGTGCTGATAGTGAAAGATGCCCAGATATGCACTTCAGAAAGAAAGGCACAAAATAGAATCACCACATTTATTGAGGGTGGTGATGGTAGAATACGTACTTCTGAATATCTGGATGTGTGTGTAGACAGACGTTCCCAGAAAGATGGATCTAGCACTGTGGCTGCCTGGGGAGGCTGAACAGGAGGGAGGGAAGCTTCAATGTGTAAGAGTTGAGCTTTTCATTGTGCTCATGTATTGCTTTTTCAATAAATAGTATAGAATTTTGAGGGGAGGTAGGTATTGGGGGTCAAACTCAGGGCCTCGTGCATGCTAGGCAAACACCCTATGACTGAGCTCCCTCTAACTCAAAGCATTTTAAATAGTCAAGTTGCATCCTGTAAATGGTTTTCTAAAAAAGCAAAGATAGTGCCTGTCACACACCTGTAATCCCAGGAGCTTGGGAGGCTGAGGCAGGAGGATCACAAGTTTGAGGCCAGCCTCAGCAATTTAGTGAGCCTCTCAGCAATGTAGTGAAACCCTGTCTCAAAATAAACAATTAGAACCTGAGAAGTAACACAGTGGCATCTCTGGGCTTCATCCCTAGTGCCAAAAAGAAAAGAAAAGATAGTCATGTCATCTGCTGGGGCTTTGGCAAAACTGTTTCCCCCTGGCCAGGGAGTTCTAGGACCTTCCTGACTACCTTCATGTCTTTGCCTTAAGGCCATCTGCCCTTGGTCTGGCTGCTTGCTATACTCCCCAGCAAGCCCTAGGTTCCCGTGCCTGGCAAGCTGCCTTACCTATGTCTCCATGAGACTCTCTAGAACGGTTTTTTTTTTTTTTTAACCCACAGCAGAATCAATCAATGTGCTTTCAGAAAAAGCAACAAGAAAACCAGTGTGCTTTAGGTAAACAGGACTTTTTCAACATACTATAGCTTAGTCTGTTGCCTACAAGGCCACATTCACACTCAAATTCACCAGACTCTGGGAAATCCAAACAGAACCATCAAGGGCACCTTTGTTACCTTGAACTAAGTGACTAACACTGTAACACAAGGAGCTTTGGAAAAGTCACCAGTATAGCTGTTGCCAGACCATGGTGCACAGAGATGCAGCAGTTTAAAAACTAACGCTTTTTAAAAAAACTTTGCTTTTTCATGAAGCCTAATTAGCCTATATAATTTTTTAATAATTAAAAAAAATACACACCATTTTAATTTTTAAAGGAGATGAAGCAAGATGTAGCTGCTATGAGGGAGTTTTAGATCCAAGATTTGGGGAGACTCAAGGGGTTGGAATTCAAACAAAAAGATATATAAGCTATAATCCACATCCTCAGCCTTTTTTATTTTTTTAATTTTGAGGCAGGGTCTCACTTAGTTGTTTAGGGCCTGGCTAAGTTGCTGAGTCGGGCCTGGCTAAGTTGCTGAGTCTGGCCTTGAACTTGGGATTCTCCTGACTCAGCCTCTGGAGTCACTGGGACTATAGGGATGCACCACCGCTCCCAAACAAAAGTCGTATCTCTGAGATGAATGTGGGAGATGAATGTGAGAGTCCTGATCAATGATAACAGGGAACATGAAAGGCATGATGGCAATTACGGTTACCACAGGGAAAAGCATTCTGAGTTAGAACCAGGCCCTGCTAGGTAAGCCTAATTGGCAGGTGTGTCAGATGAGGAAGGCCAGCCATCTGGAGGTTTGTTCTCCAAGACAGAGAGATGAGCTAGTGGAGCAAAGGCTAGAACTCAGGCTTTCTCCCACCAAGCCCACACCCTTGCCAGAAGATCCACTTCTGGCCAGTCCTGTGGATATCTGTCTGGTCCCCAGCTCAGGCCCCTGCGTGTGTTCCTCACAGTTGTGTCTAAGGCCTGGGGCTGACTTCAGAGATGAGTTCATGGACAACACCCAGTGGCTGGGGAGGTGGAGGACCTGAGGAGCTATTTGGTCAAGCTCAGCCTAAAATCAAGCAACCAGCCAAACCCCAATCCTCGTTTCCTGGACCATGGTCTTTTCCATGACAACTTTACTCTTGCAAAGACTAAACCTCAGATGACTGAGATGGGGAAGGATTTGAGGAAAGAAATTTTTTTTTCACTACTTCTATTAACTTTTGAAGATTTATAGCAGATAAAAAGTATTTTTGCTTGTATGTATGAAGGTTTTTTAAAAATCATTTTTTCCCACAAGATAAAAGAACAATTTCACCATGGAGTAAAGGTAAAGTAAGATAATCCTCTTTTTTAAGTTGTCCAAAGTGGCATTTAGGATCTTCATCGTTGACGGCTGTGCTAACACCATAACAAACTAAAGTGTAGGGTTGGGTCTGGCTTTGTTCCGGTTTTCTTAACAGTCAAAGCTCATGGATTAAGTTCTAGATATATTCTAATTGTAAGTCAGGGATCTGCTGGGATTCTACCACTGATATGCTCCTTGGGACAGACGCTGGAGGGCGAGGCACATTTCACTGGACCCATGTTGACTACTAGTGGTCATCAAGGTCAAAGCATTTATCATCTCCTCTTTGGTCTCCCTTTCCCTGGAAGTCTGCTCAGTACTGTGAAATACTTGTAATTCTACCAAATTCTTTCACAAACTGGGATCCTTCTTGTGACTTAACTGTAGCAATTTTCTTTATTTTTCCCCTCTCTCTCTCTCTCTCTCTCTCTGTGTGTGTGTGTGTGTACTGGGGATTGAACCCAGGGGCATTCTGCCACTGAGCTTTATGCCAGCCCTTTTCATTTTTTTTAAATTTTGAAACGGGGACTTACTAAGTTGCTCTAACTGACCTTGAACCTGTGATCCTCCTGCCTCAGCCTCTCAAGTGTCTGGGATTGCAGGCGTGCCCCACCATGCTCAGTTTGTGACAATTTTCAATGTAGCCCCCATTTTTTTATAGTTGTTTGCAAACTACTCCAACAGAGGTGTGCTCTCAACCAGCCCATGTTTCTGTCCTTTTTGTGAAGTGAGATTTATCATTCTCTTGTTCCAGAATTGGAGAATTTTGTCCTTTTCCATGCTTTAGCAATGAAGAAAGTATCTCAATATATCCAAATTTTCAGACTATTAGAATCTCTATAGCTTCCATTTTCAAAAGCTTTTAGTGTATCTCTAACTCCAAGAGTACTTGTCCCTGTCCTGGATGGTTATATTGTCTATTAATTTCTTCTCTTGAATGATTTCAAGCTAGAGAGGATTTCAGTGGGTAACTCAATAGCTGGTTGGATCCGTTTCACTACCATAGGATGCATCAACTAATTTTTTCTTTTCTTTTCTTTTCTTTTGTACTAGAGATTGAACTCAGGGGCACTTAACCACTGAGCCACATTCTCAGCAATTTTTATTTTATTTTTTTATCTAGAGTCAGGGCCTTGCTAAGTTGCTTAGGGCCTTGCTAAGTTACTGAGGCTGGCCTTGAACTGGTGATCCTCCTGTCTCAGCCTCCCAAGCTGCTGGGATTACAGATGTGTGCCACCAAGCCTGGCACCTGCATCCATTAATTCTAAAGCTTTCATTGTGACCTCTGATCAAACATATCAGAATGATAAAATCAGCTGATCCAGTTAAAGCAGGACTAATCACGTTCTTTGTCCCCAGAAATAAACAGCTGTCTGCAGTCTCTGCTACTTTCAGAACACAGTTACGTGTCATTCTTAAATGGGCAAAATGCAAGGCTGACTGGCCTCCTCTGCTGTGTTTCTTCAGTAGATTCACCATGGATTTGTGCAGGACTTCTCTCAGGTGTCCTTGGAACTCACCCCAGAACACACACTGCCATCTGTTCCAGTGGAGCTGCACTTGACCATGATCTGAAAGCAGTGCTGTAAGAGCCTCTATATAGAACTTCCTGGCACACAATAAAGCGACACATCAATTGATTTGAAAGGGTCAAAGTCCATGTTGTCTTTCTTTTCCTCTCCTCCTTTTGTTGCAGGACTGAAAGGCAGTCTACTTGTGACTTCATGTTAGATGTAGTTCCAAAGCCATCAGATAACATTTTTGCCACTTGGACAATGATATCATGCTGTGCCATTGCATGGCCGCCTCTAAGCTCTTAAGAGCTTCTTGATCTTCCAGATTCCCCTGGGCCTCTTGGCCTCCTGGGTCCTGGGTGGGGGGCTCCCTAGCTCTAGGCTACTACACGTGCTGCAATCTGCTTGAGGGTGAAGAATTAGCTCCTGACATTTCTCTGGCTGACCTGGAGCTGGAGATGGTCTCTGACCTCTGACCTAAGGGCTCAGCTCTGAGAGCTGAATATCAACGCAGCCAAGGCAATGAGAGTGTATTAAAGCTGGTATTGTCGAACGTTATGAGGATCTCTATTCCAGTTCTCCAGCTTCTAGCTTTCCAAAATATATAGGTTCACATTGTACATGAGCTGGAGAAAAAGCCCTGTGAGGGCTGGGGATGTGGCTCAAGCGGTAGTGTGCTCGCCTGGCATGTGTGCGGCCCGGGTTTGATCCTCAGCACCACATACAAATAAAGATGTTGTGTCGCCGAAAACTAAAAAATAAATATTAAAAATTCTCTCTCTCTCTCTCTCTATCTCTCTGCTCTCTCTTAAAAAAAAAAAAAAAAAAAAAAAGCCCTGTGAGAACACATCAACTCTGCCAACATGGAAAAGCTGCACATTAAAAGCTGTCTTTGAAAAGGAAAGGCATCAGGCTGAGGCCTTAGCTCAGTGGCAGAACACTTGCCTACCATGTGCAAGGCCCTTGATTTCATTCCCAGCACCAAAGGAGAGAAAAAGAAAAAAGGAGGATAACCCAAATAATATTTTGGGTGGGAGGTACCTAGGATTGAACTCAAGGGCACTCGACCACTGAGCTACATCCCCAGCCCTATTTTGTATTTCTTTAGAGACACTGAGTTGCTTAGCACCTCATTTTTGCTGAGGCTGGCTTTGAACTCGTGATCCTCCTGCCTTAGCCTCCCAAGGCGCTGGGATTACAGGCATGCACCATCGTGCCCATCGTGACAAAGTATTTTTGAAATAGTATTGACAGCAAGACATGATGCATTTTTTAAAAAATTTATTTTATTTTTTTGTGCAAACCCAGTGAGGGAGATGTAGAAGTGCTTAGGTGGTCAGGGCAAGATGTCGAGTGAGGAGGTTGGGAGCTGGGCCAGAACAAATGAGCATGGAGAAGGTCTTCTGATGATGTCAACTTCCTGCTTGATAAAAGTGCTCATGGACACAAATGGGGGACCCAAACAAACTGATAATTCTGTACTTGTGCTCCTAAGTGGGGGATCCAACAGAAAAACAAAAACAGACACGTGGACAGAGAAGGCACTAATCAATAATAGTGAGGAGCACATGGACAAGGGAGTAGATAAGGAAAGGAGGAAATTCCAGAGTCCATAAAAAGAATAGGCCAAAACTCCCCCACTGGATTCCCAGCTTTAGGGTTTTGGGGAGATGTCTATCTCTGTATCTCTGTCATCTTTGCAATAAGCCTACTTCCTATTTGCTGTCTCTGTGTACTGTTCTTCAATTCTTTGCTAAATGGAGACTACGAAGCCAGCCCCCATAGATGGTACAACAGGATCTTGCACATGCTAGGCAAGAACTCAACCACAGAGCTACATCCCCAGCATTGATTCAGCCTTGGAAATGCAATCATAAAATTGTGTGGGCAAAAACATAATTTGAAACTGGATGGCAACAGATTACAAAGGTCATTTTGGATAAAATATAGCAGACAAAATAAATTCCAAGTTTGAAATCTCATCTGTCGTGTATATGAAGCTCACAAAGGTGTTAATTTTGAATTTCCAGAGTTTGAATTAAGACTCTTTATCATTCACAGTCATACAGGCATGTGTGAGTGCACACTCTGGGCTCTTTATTTGGGTGGAATCAGGCCTCTGGGAGAAATTGATATACTATTTCACACAGAATGAAGATTCTTATGGGAAGAGAGCTGAACTAATACTCAATTCAGAATAAGACTGTCTTTCTTACTGTTATGATTTGGATCTTATCATCATCATCATGGTCATCATTATTATCATAATTATTATTTTATACCTGGGATTGAACCTAGGGGCACTTAACCACTAAGCCACATCCCTAGCCCTTTATAAAAATGTTTTATTTACAGACAGAGTCTCTCTGAGTTGTTAGGGCTTCATTAAGTTGCTGAGGCTGGCTTTGAACTCGTGATCCTCCTGCCTCAGCCTTCTGAGCACTGGGATTGTAGGTGTGCACCATGGCACCCAGCTTGGTTTGAATCTTAAATGTTCCTTCAAAGTTCCTGTGTTGAAGACTTGGTCCCCAAGCAGCCATGTTCAGATGGGGGGCCTTGGGAAGTGATGGAAGTATGAGGGGTCTGATCTCAAGAATGGATTAATCCATTGATGGATTCCTAGCTTAGTGGGCCTGGGCAGAGGGCCTTTGTTATAAGGCTTCTCTCTCTCTCTCTCTCTCTCTCTCTCTCCCCCCCCATTTCCTGGCTACCATGAGTTGAGCAGCTTTACTCCACCACATGCTCCCTGCCATGATGGTCTTCTTGACCACAGGGCCAGAAACAACAGAGTCCAGTGACCACGAAGTAAAGTTTCTGAAACCATGAGCCAAAAGAAATTTTCCCTCTTTCAGTTGATTTTATAAAGTATTTTATCACAGCAATGGAAAATTGACTAACACATTTTCTGATCCTCTGAGGTTCCTGCTAAGCTTCTTCAGTTATTCAACAGGTTCTGTAGGCCGTTTGAGTGCCAGTTCTATGTGCCATGTGTCACATCCACATCCCATGCACATCTTTTTGGCATCTCAATTTTTCATTCTAAATATTGAACCTCATTTTTAGAATGAGCCCCTATTGCAAGATGCAGGATGGGGATATAGCTTGGTGTAGGGTGCTTGCCTAGCATGCATGAGACACTGAATTTGACCCCAGCATTGAACAACAACAACAAAAAAAGTCTTTCTAGAATTTAGAATTTAGAAGACCTGTGAAATGAGGATACTGATTTCTTCCTTAATCTACGTCACCAGGTTACTGTGAAACTTCAGTAAGTTTTTAAAGATAACCCTGCAAAAGACAGGCCTGGGTGATTGTGAAGAATTATTCTAACTCAAGAGAGACAAACAAACCCAGAGAAGATAAAAGCCTGTGTAAAAAAGAAATGTCCTTCAGCAGTCTACTGTGTCTTATATTTGAATTTTATTAAGCATTTGTTTATATTGAAAAGGCTAGAGAGAGACTTACCCTTCCATCCGGGGTCCTGGGACCGGTATAGGGAGGTGCTTCACCCATCAGAACTGGCCAGACATCGAAAAATTCCTAGGAATGAAGGAATCAGTTTAGGTGTTTTGAAAATAGGTAAAGAAAAAGAGACTGGGCTGGGATGTGGCTCAAGCGGTAGCACGCTCGCCTGGCAAGCATGCGGCCTGGGTTCGATCCTCAGCACCACATACAAACAAAGATGTTGTGTCCACCGAAAACTAAAAACTAAATAAATATTTAAAAAAAAAAAAAGAAAAAGAGACTAATAAAAGAAGGTTAACAGATATGAATCATCTGTTCACTAAAATCCAGAAGGTGGGAAGAGCTTGCTGGGATCCAAGCATGGAAGAGCAGTGAGACTCACTAGAATCACTAATTGCAGTTACGTGATAATCACATCTGCCCTACAAAATACTGATGAACCGGGCTTGTCTAATTGTTAGCCAAAACATTGGAGCTGAGTTGGGGCACCCTCAGTGTTGTGGGACGCAAGAGGGAAAGTGGGGTCTCCACGGCTTAGGAATTTACCATAAAGACACACTAACACATGATGGGAAGAATTACCCTCTGCAATACCATTGATAGCAGTGAAAAATAAGAAACAATTTAAATGTTCAACCAGATGGACTTATTAAAATAAATATGGCACATAATTATTAACAACATTAGTAGATAATAATCTATTAAAAATGATGTTACAGATGTGTGTGTACTGATTGGAAAGGTGCCCAAACTGGGCACAGTGGTGTACACCTGCAATCCCAGGGACTTGGGAAGCTGAGGCAGGAGGATGGCAATTTCAAGACCAGCCTTGGCAACCAAATGAGGCTCTAGTCCCTAAACAACTTAGTGAGACCCTGAGCCAAAAGGGCTGAAGATATGGTTCAGTCAATTCAATCCTGAGTACAGGAAGGAAGGAAGGAAAGAAGGAGGAAGAAAGAATGAAAGAAAAAAACAAGAAGGAAAGAAAGAAAAAAATACACAATGGTGCCAAATGTAACAGATAAATCCAACAAGAAAGGTTGCGGCCTCTAAAATGAGGAGCTATTAAATCAAAATAAGTAGGAGGTTATTAGCCTGAGGCTGTCTCTGTGCTTTGGGTTCCTGCATAGCAATTTGAGTTCCCACAATACAAAGTGAAACCTAACTTATTATATAAAAGAACAAAAACCCAATTTAGGAACATATTTTCACAGCAAATAGAAGTTTCAGCCAATCCCAGGCAGCCAACTGACTGGATCAGGTCCAAATCAGGCAAATGTCTACCTTTAACAAGTCAAGTTATGTCTGTATTTTACCTCTTAGTTCAATCTAAAAAACCTCAGTGAGCATGCTGCAGAACAGATGTCTCTTGGACATCGTTTGGCCCTGAGTGCTGCCCAATTCATGAATCATTCTTTACTCAAGAAAGCTCTATTACATCAATTTTATCCTCAAGTTTTCTTTTCACATGGTCAAGACAGGCAGAGAAGAGAGAAAAGAGCCTGGAGAGGATCTGTATGGTCACGCAGTCTCAAGAGGAGAAGCCAGTGGGACCCCACACAGTCTCTGGCCTGCTACTGCGCTGGGTTTCCTTTGCAGGCAGAGCTGCAAACCTTGTGTTGGGTCAAGTCTGGGTCCTCCCACCTCCAGGGCTGTTCATTAAGCTGTAATATGTAGGCACAAACTGTACTTGGCTAGCCTGGGTTATTATGGGTAGGAGGCCAACCGCACTTTTCCTTTGCTTCTCTCCTGTTTGAACAACACATCTTAGCGTGATGGTTTGCTTGTTCTCATACCATCCAAAGGACAAGCACAAGGGAGTCCACATGGAACTCAGCCTTCATGTCCTCAGCCTTCTGCCCAGTTGGGCCCTTTTTCTAGATGACTAGCAACAGGAAGAAATTCAGTTCTGAATGAAGATCTAAACTGGGGCCTAGCTGAGCCCCACAACCTGTTTGTTGCTAGATATACAGAGATAAATAAGGCACGATTTATTCCTGGAGGAACTCACCACTCCACAAAGGAGACAATAGAGTACTCAGGTAGATGGAGCAAGAACTGAAACAGTGGTGGAAGGAGATTGGAGAGGCCAGAGGAGCCCAGAAGAACAAGTACATTGGGCTGATGCTTTGTGTGGCCAAACACTGAGTGGATCTGAAGGCTGTACCAGGAGAAGAGAATGGCCAAGCAGGGTTGGGTGGAGAGTGGGGCAAATTTCTCTCCCTCATTTGCTCCCTCCCCTCCCTTCTTCTCTTTTCGTTCTTAATTGCTTTATTGAGATACAACTGATGTATCATAGACTATGGTTAGGATATGCTTTCAGTATATCCCCCAAAGCTTCCTGTGCTGGAGACTTGGTCCCCAGTGTGACAATGTAGAGGTAATGGAACCCTGAGGAGGTGGGGCCTTGTGGAAGGTGGCTAGGTAATATGTAATGCTGCCCTTGTCATTTAATTTTTGACGGACCGGAGTTAGTTCCTGAGAGACCAGGTTGTTATAAAGAGAGAACCTGGCCCCTGGATTTTTCTGGCTTCTCTCACTATGTGATGTTATACACATGTGTTCCTGTCTGCCACTGGTTCCTCACCAGAGGCCAAACAGATGGGGGTGCCCAATCTTAAGACTTTCAGCTCCAGAACTATGAGCTAAATAAACCTCTTTTCTTTAAAAAGTATGTAGCTTCATGAATTTTGTTATAGCAACAGAAACTGAGCTAAGATACTATAAAATGAATCCACTTGAAGTATACAATCCCTGGTATCAGGGATTGAACTCAGGGGCACTCAGCCACTGAGCCACATCCCCAGCCCTATTTTGTATTTTATTTAGAGAGAGGGTCTCACTGAGTTGCTTAGCGCCTTGCTTTTGCAGAGGCTGGCTTTGAACTCTTGATCCTTCTGCCTCAGCCACTCGAGCCACTGGGATTAAGGTGTGCGCCTGGTGGAAATTTGACTATTCAGAATTTTTTTGTTGTTGATGTTTATTTGTTTTTGCAGTACTGAGAATTATACCCAGGGCTTTGCATATACTAGGCAAGTGTTCTACCATGAACTTCACCTCCAACACATTTTTATTTTATTTTGAGACAGGGTCTCAAAAATAAGAGGCTGGCCTTGAATTTATGATCCTCCTAACTCAGCCTCCAGAGTTGCTGGAATTACCAGCATGTGCCCAGCTTGGAAATTCTTTTGATTGCATTCTGAATATAGCTCAGTAGTATACTGTGTACTTAGTATGCACGAGGCCCTGGGGGTAATCCCCAGTACTGCAAATAAATATGCTGAAGGGGGGGGGAGAACTGGGCATAGTGGTGCACACCTATAGTCCCAGCTACTCAGGATTAGGATCACTTAAGCTTAGGAGTTCTAAGTCATTCTGGGTAACATAGTGAGACTCTATCAAAAAATTTTTTAAATTAAAATAAGAAGGGAAAGAAGGAAGGCGGGAAAGGTAGGAAAACAAATTATTTTGGTTAAAAAGGAATCATTTATCCGTATGATTAATTTATTTGCTACTTCCTGAAGGAGAAGCCAAGAGTATATTGCTGGAATTAGTAATATTTGGCAAAAATATATGACTCAAGAGTATAAAAGTCATATAAATATTTGCACTAGAATTAGAGTCCGTATACTAATATCATAGTATATGGCCAACTACACCAGAATCGTGTAAGGAGCTATTTATTTTTAAAGGTAAAATCAGAAAAATAAGCCTATGTGGTACATGGAAATGCAATATATATAATAAAGAGGATTCAAAATGGTGGCATGCTAAAGAATGGCTAAAGGGTAGACCATTCTTTTCTTCTATTTTTTTTTCAGTGCCAAAAATCAAAACCAGGACCTTTCATGTACAAAGCAAGCACTCTGCCACTGAATCCCCAATCCTGAAGGTAGGCTGTTTTTTAAGTGGAGAAACATAGAAGGAAAAAAATATATACCCCTCTCTCACATCATAAACTTAATTTCAAGATAAATAAAAGATTAAATTATATTAATCAAAACTATAAGGCTGGGTTAGTGCACACCTGTAATCCCAGAAATTTGGGAGGCTAAGGCAAGAAGATCACAAGTTTGAGGCCAATCTCAGCAATTTAGCAAGACACTGTCTCAAAATTAAAAAAAATAAATAAAAATAAAAATCCCTGGGAATGTAGGTTGTAAAGCACCCCCTGGGTTTATTCTCCAGTACCAAAACAACAACCACCACCCAAAATACTACAAAAACACTAAAAGTCAACACATGAGATTTTTTTCAGATTATCTTTATAACATTGGCAGTAAGGAAGTTTTACTAAATAAAAACTAGAGCTCAGAAGCCATAAAATAAATTTTAAATCTTCTGTATGTTGAAAGATATCATAAACAAAGTTAAAATATAATTTATAGGGAAAAAAAAGTTTACAGCACATGTTACAGATGTATGATCTCCATCATATACAAAGCACTCCTATGAATTAACAAGAAATAGACAACTCTTAACAATTGACATGTGATATGTCCGGAAGTGCACGGAGAAAGAAAAATCAAATCACAAACAAAAGGACATAGTTCCTCTTCTGAGTAATCAGTGGAAAAAAAAAAACAACTGGAAGAAAAAAGACACCAGTTTTTACCCATATGAATAGGGGGTGGTAAGAGTTTTGGTAAAAAAGACTCTAATGCAGTATGAGTGAGAATGAAAATTGTATAACCCTTAGACAAAAAATTTTGAGAAAAGCAAAATAAAAATTAATAATTTCACTTTTACAACTCTATAGACATTTTCACTTAAGTACATAAGGACTCAACTTTAAGGTTGTTATTGCAGCTTTGTCTTTAATTGCAAGAATATTTAGAAATACATTTAATGCCCAACAACAGGGGAAAGATAAATTAACCAGACTATTCAAAAACCTCAGATATGAACTACAGAACAAAGAAGGGGATTTTTACTTTGATTAATCATGGCTATTTATTTCAAATCAAGCCTCTCAATAGGAAAATTGCAAAATTTGGGGTGTATGTATGTAAAAACATTGATTTAAGGAATCATAGAGCTAGCAAGGCAGCAAGCACTTAATGAGCCAAGATGCCAGTGCTAGAAGCCTGACCAGATTCTACTTTTCATTTCAACCCACTTGCTGACGCCAAAGGTGTTGAGAAGCTAAGAAACTGATAAAAGCTGACAGATGACTCACTGGTCAAGGACAAAATTGTAATTCAGGACCTGTCAAGGAAGAGAAATCCTTGAAAACACCCTAGGCTGGGATCCACACCCTCCTGCAAAGTTTATATCCTGGAGTACAACTGAACCGGAAGCAGACCAGCTCTCACAGAGACTGCAAACCCGCTTGAAAGCAGCATAATCCCTGATTAAGCAACCTAATTGCTTGCCAGAAGTAAAATCATCCATTTTGGAAGGAAATAACATTGTTCCAGAGTTTTAAATCATCTCTATAATTTTTCATATATACCTCTAATGGTCTAACAAAAATGATTAGAAATGTGAAAGATAAGAATTAACTAAAAGATCAAGAAGGGAAACAGATCATAGAAACAGGTCTATAGAAGGTATCCACAGATACTGTTGCTCTCAGATACAGACTCTACCTTGGTCTTTTGTTTGTTTGTTTGTTTGTTGCTGAGACTGGCCTTGAATCTGTGATACTCCTGCCTCAGCTTTCAAAGTACCAAGATCACAGGCATGTGCCACAGTGCTGGCTCAGATTCTAAAGTAATCGTGTTTATGTCTAAGAAATTAAATATAATATAGAGGACTGGGAATATAGCTCAGTAGCAGAGCACTTCCTTAGCATGCTTAAAGCCCTGGGCTTGATCCCCAGCACCACAAATGAACAAAGAGAGCAAGAGCAAGAGCAAGATCGATAGAGAGAGAGAGAGAGAGAGAGAAAGAAGAAGAAAGAGGAGGAGGAGGAAGAAGAGAAGGAGGAGGAGGGGGAGGAGGAGGAGGAAGGAAAAACAAAGGGAGAGAATCTTAACAAAAAACTGAAAATTACAGAGAGAAAGAGAAAGTGTGTATGAATAAAATGGAAAATCTAAAATTGAAAAAAACATACACGAAGACTGGGGATATAGCTTAGTAGTCCAGTGTTTAGCATATGCATGGCCCTGGGTTGATTCCTCACACCAAGAAAACAAAATAACAAAAAAAATAGCTGAAATGAAGAATTCAATATAAAGTTTTACAGTCAATTAGACACAATCAAAGAGAGGCTAGGTGATTAATAAAAGATAAAACAGAAGAAATATTCAAGTTGAAGAACAAAAATATGAAAATAAAAATACAGAAAGTCATATAAGAGACATAAAACATGGTGAAAATATCTAACATATAGCAAAAAATTTACAGCTACTTTTATAACTAGGAAGTATGTTTGCAAATTAAAAAATCAAGGCAGTAAGGTATTATAGAAGAATATATAAACATACCGATGAGACAAAAATCCAGAAATAGACCCCCACATATTTGACTGATGATAAAGGTATGATAGAGAAAGATGATCTTTTCAACTGAATAGTAGGAAAAGGAGGCTTTTTTTCAATAAAAGGTACTGGGCCAATTAGATATCAATATGGAAAAATTAATATTTGCCTTACTCACACTATACATTAAAAAATTTAGGTAGATTGTAGAACTACATGTAAAAGTTAACACAATACAACTCTTAGAAGTTGACACAGAAAAATATCTTTATGACCTTAGAGATAAGAAATAGTTCTTAAATGTGGCACAAAAATCAATAACCATAAAAAAATTTATAAGCTGGATTACATTATAATTCAGAACTTATATTAATCAAAACACACTATTAAGTCCGGCATGGTGGCACATGTCTGTAATCCCAGCAGCTTGGGAGGCTGAGGCAGGATTATGAGCTCAAAGCCAGCCTCAGCAATTTAGTGAGGCCCTAAGCAACTCAATGAGACCCTGTCTCTAAATAAAATATAAAAAAGGGCTGGGGATATGGCTCCGTGGTTATTTGGTACTGGGATTTGAACCCCTGGGTTCAAATCCCAGTACCAAATAACAACAATAAAAACATCATTAAGAGAATGAAGCACAGAGCACGGGGAGATATTTGTAATGCATATAATCAACAGAAGACCTGTGTTCAGAATTTGTAAAGAATATCTACAAATCAATGATTTTTTTAAAAAGACAACATAATTTTTAAAAATGGGGAGAGATTGGAACAGTCAGTTCACAACAAAGGATATCCAAATGGCCAGTAAACATGAAAAAGTGTTCAACCTCATCAGTCATTAGGGAAATACATGTTACCATCAAAAGGAAAAACACCACATATCCACCAGAGTGGAAAGTTAGTAAAAATGACAACACCAAGTATGGGAGTGGAAACCCTATGCGTTGCTGGTGGGAGTACAAAATGTGGTTCAATCATTTGGAAAATCAGATAGGCAATGGCTTCTAAAGCTATTACCCCAAAATGCACTCTAGCTAAATACCTAACAGAAACAGGTACAACTGATCAAAAAAGACACATACTAGAACGTTCACAATAGCAATATTCGTACCATTCGAGATCTGAAAATTCAAATTTCCTCAACAGTAGAAATCAATAAATTGTTGTGGATTATTCATATGTTGGAACATTCCACAAGTTTAAACTGCTACATAGATCAATAAAGATGAACCTTATAACCAAAATGTTGGGCAAAAGAAACCTGGCACAGGAAAATGTGTGTTGTATGATTCCATTTAATGTACCTCAAAATAGGCAGAACAAATATAGTGGTCAATGTCTAATGGTGGTTACCTTCAGGGAGGCAGCTGTGGGAATATTGAAGAGGGTTTGAAAGAAACTGCTGAGGGGCTGGTAACATTGCTTAGTTTTGATAGTGATTACACAGGGATATTCAGTCTGTGATAATTCCCCTTTCTGGGTCTATGTTATGCTTCAATATAAAGGCTTATTAAAAAGAATTGATGTGTATTGGTATGGACAGATGTTTATAAAACACTAAGCAAAAGATGTAGACTATCAGAAAATGTGGCCCAGCAATTTGACTCAGCCACTCAGTAGATTCTGATGAACTGTCAAATCTGGAGGCCTTTGGACTAAACTAAGATCTTTTCCAACCCCAGATTCTGTGATGCACTCCACTCCATATGAGGAGGGTACGCAATGGTCTATGCACCATGCTCAGTAGAACAAGGCACATAAAAGGAAATTGAGTCCTCCTGTACCTTGTGCAGGAAAAATCTGGACAATCAGAAGCTCTCCTCTAAAACAGAAAATGATTAGTCTCAGGAAGTAGAGAGATGAATAAAGGAATGGGAGAACTAGTGTGGGAGAACATAGTTGAGAACCATTGCTTGGGATCGCATCAAACTCTGCCTCCTTAGATGCCATGTGGGCTACAAATCTGGCCCCTGAGCATTTTAAGGACCTGATGAAGCACCTGTCTCTACTTCCATTGACCTTGGGTTTGACAAACTATAGGAAAGTTTTATACCCAGCTTTCAGTACATTTTCTAAGAAATCCAGAGGTTGGCAATCTTCTTCTGGACTGCCAGCCAATAAAACTTCTCACTCACCTCACCAACCTTCTTCTCACTTACACTTTCCTTTCTAAATGACCAGGGAGTGTAGGCTTGTTTTAACCCACCTGAGCTCTAGAGTAACCTTTCCCCTTTAAAGGCCAGAATGCCTATGTTCAGTTAGGACCTGTGTAAGAATTTCACAACATGCAAACTCCCCAGCCTCTTCCCTGTGCGATGGCATGCGTGACAAAAAAAAAAAAAAAAAGACTCTTCTTTGGGAAAGCAGTGACAGAGAATGGAGAACAGTGTCTGAGATGGGGTCTCTGATGACCTCATGGCTGTGGCAAGCCTAGGGCCTGGGAGTGTTCCTTTGCAAGGGTGCAGGATGCCGAGTCTTATCAGCCTCGACATTGATATCAGGCACATAGTTCCTGGGAATTGAGGGACTCTCCTGCTAGACAACAACAGTGTTTCACCAGGTCCACTGCTTTGGAAGCTGCCCACTTAACAGTAATTTTAAACAATGGACTTTTTTGAGAACTACACAAAGCTCCTAATACTGCAACGATAAACTTCAAATGTGTAAAAGCTACATAAATGTTTCCATCCCTGTAACTTTCTGGATACCAAGAATAATACTTGCATAGTCTTTAGCCTGATAATGAGATATATATAAATAAAGATTGCTGGCATATCTCTTTAGATCTGCTTCTCCATCAGAGAGCAGCACTCCACCTGATCCCAAGCTATTTATCTTCAAAATCTGCATCTGTGAGTCTTTATTTTTCTAATCCCCCATAGCCCCTTGCCAGAACCTGCTAGACTGGACACACTGGTCATGGCAGTGATTTTCTTTGGAAATGTCTGACCTTGAAGTTTTCTCACCTTCTGCTTGGTCATGTCTAAGAGACCCACAGAATATCTGTCACAGTTGAGGAAGGCACGGACTGTGTACAGGGCTTTGTGGAACTGTCTCTCAATGTCTGTAAGTTCTTCAAAGACTTTGCTCCCAGACCACAGCAGTATCTACAGAAATACAAAAAAGTATACAGAGCTTTTGAGGCACAGAGCAGTAGTTCACTCAGTTAGATAAAAATAACAATCCTGTAAAGTTTTTAAGTTGTTGTTTTTTTTTTTTTTTGAGTTTATTTCATCTAATTGACACAATAACCTGAAGAAGAATAACCTGAAGAAATAGATATTATAGATTGAGAAACTGAGGCTTGAAGAGGTGAATTAACTGGCTGATTTATATGTGATCAACTCTGTACGTTTTCTATCTTATATGTTATTAATAAACATATTAATAAAAAGGGCCTGGGAATGTAGCTTTGTAGTAAAGCACTTGCCAAGCATGCACAAGGCCCCAGGTTTGATTCCCAGTACTACCAAAAAAAACCCAAAAAACTAATGAATATTAATTGGACACAAATGCCCTACATATATTATCTCATTTATGTGGATGAGGGGGAGTGGTGGTACTGGGGATTCAACTTAGGGCCTTAAGCATGCTAGATAACTAAAACAGGGTCTTGCTAAGTTACCCAAGTTGGACAACTTATGATCCTCCCGCCTCAGACTCCAAAGTAGCTGAGATTTTAGTGTATGCCATCCAGCCTGGCATAATTTACTATTGATAGGAATCTTTTGAGGTTGGTACCATAACTAGCTCTGCTTTTCAAAAGAGAAGACTAAAGCTCAGAGGCCATCTGATATGCTCAGGGTGTAGGAGTACGTAATGAGCAGGAATTAAAATCCAAGCTGTTTAACTTGAAACTTTGTGTATATAATCACTCTGGGTTTCAGCTTTACAAACCTCTTCTGCCTGATACCACTGGGGATCTCACTGGAGACTGTAGAATGGTTCCCAGGCACCTTCGTTCTGACCTGTCCTGCCAGTTCTAACCACATCAGTGCTTCAGTAAAAGGACATGTCCAGTCCATTCCTAGAGCCAAACCCTTACCTGGCCACGCCGAGTCTCACAGTTGTACAGGTAACTCAAGTGGTAAACCTTCATGAGTAGATTTGCAAAATTGAGGTACTTGAGAAGAATCTAAAAAATCAAACAGCATAGGAGGAGCAGATGAGAAGGAAAAATCCACACTCTGGCCACTTTTGCCATCAGCAAATGTCTGAATATTTTAAAAGCTTCATCAGAAATGATTTAAGAAGAAGGATTATTTAGAAAGCAAACTCATAAAATGTTGCATTATGAATGTAAAACTCACAGAATATAGAATGTTGATGTGAGGATATTAATGACAGCTATTACTTTCTGTAAAATCATCACCATTTTACAAATAAGAAAACAGGTTCAGAGAAGCTATGTGACCTGCCCAAGTCAGTGAGAGATTGGAAAAGCAAGAACAATTTTTCCTTTATTCCTGACTGCAAAACCTAGCGTCTTCACCATTATCCTATCCCACCTTTTCAGAGAGCCTCAGACCAATCCCCGTCTTACAGTTGGGAAAACTGAGGCCAGCCAAATAGCACAGTTTGGGGGACCTCATGAGCTAGGAGAATGTGCCAGCATGGTCACCCCAGCAGCTTCTAAAGCATTCTTACCTCTTCATCTCCCTTGGTGAAGTGGGGTCCATCTACTTTATTCACAGCCATCAATACAGCCACCAAGTCCTTCCCATTCATTATAGGGGAAGCCAGAATGTTCTTGGTCTGGTACTCTGTGAGGTTGTCCACGAAGTCACAAAAATGCTCATCCTGAAGGAAAGCAGAGACCAACATGAGGAGGCAAATGCAGAGCGAGGACAATAAAATGACCCAGAGCCCTTCATTGAGGAGGGAATGAAGGCATTGCCATCTACTCCCCTGGGGCAAGAGCAGGGCCACCAGAGATGACTCCTGCCAGAGATGAAGTCTCCAAAATCCAGAAGGTCTGAGACACAGACCTGTAGGGGCCTGAGGATGGGAGGGGGGACATTCTAGAGAGGGAGGTTTGGAGGAGGCTTTTGAGATCAGGACAATTAAGCCCAAAATAGAATCTTGGATGAGTATAATAATGACGATCACTTGCAGGTATTTGCGCATGTCGCTTTACCTTCATCATCTCGTTTTCATTTCCTGATATGTATGAGGTGTCCCCCCCAGAACTCCTGTGTTAATGCAGGAGATGAAATGATCAGAGAGCTGTAACCCAACCAGTGGATTAGTCCATTTGATGGATTAATAATTTAAAAGGACTGACTGGGTTATAACTGTAGGCAGGTAGAGTGTGGCTGGAGGAAGTAGGTAAGGGGGTTGTGCCTTTGGGGTTTATATTTTGTCCCTGGTGAGCAGAGCACTTTCTTTCTCTGCTTCCCCTCTGTTGTGAGCTGAGCAGCTCTCTCTTCCACCACGCCATTCTGCCATGATGTTCTGCTCCTCCTTGGGCCTGGAGCAATAGATTCAGACAATCATGGGCTGAACCTCTGAAACTGTGAGTCAAAAACATTTTTTTTTCCTCTAAGTTCTTCTTGTTGGGTATTTTCGTCACAGCAATGAAAAGCTAAGTAAGACATTCTTCCCTAATAGCTAATGAAATAGGTACCATGAGCCCATCTTACAGAAGGGGGAACTAACTCGAAGCTAATGTTTGTTACGTGTGTGCGTGTGTGTGTGTGTGTGTGTTTGACTTCAGAACCTGTCCTCAGTTCTGCTACCTCTCACAGAAATCGGGATGTGGATAGCATGGGGTCAAGGTCATTGAACAAAAGGATTTGTTATTTTCAGCTTTTCTAACATCTAGTTTCAGTACCACATAGCCAGTTCAACAGATATCCCCTCCCCATAAATCTCAATGGAAGCCCTACTATGTGTCAGACCTCTGCCAAACACCAGGAATATGAGATGACTAAGATTCAGGCCCCTCACGGATAAATCAGTAATAGTAACATAGGGACATAGAGCTTGACTCAAAGTTATAGGGATGCAGAGGAGACATCCCCTCACATCCCCCACTGAAAGCAGCCTGGGAAGCCAGTCGACGCTGTGGTGCAGTCCATGTGTGCAGAATGAAGAGACAGAGCCTGGATTGTTATCTTGAATTTGAAAGAATGCACCTTTCTGCTGCTGGTGCCTCCATGAGTTTCCCAACTCTCAGTGTGGCTTAGGACACAAGCCAACCCAAACATGCACAGCACATGCCTTTGTGAGAATGGAAATGTATTTCACAGAGCCAATTCATAGAACTTGACGTTTTTCCAGGGGTTACCAGGTATTGAACTCAGGGCACTTGGCCACTGAGCCACATCCCCAGCCCTATTTTGTATTTTATTTAGAGACAGGGTCTCACTGAGTTGCTTAGCGCCTTGCTGTTGCTGAGGCTGGCTTTGAGCTCATAATCCTCCTGCCTCAGCCTCCCAAACCACTGGGATTTCAGGTGTGTGCCACCGTGCCTGGCTCATAGAACTTTTCTAAAACCAAGTCTGCCAAATCTTTCCATGATTCAAAAATTCTGAGGGTATATTCTTCGTTTTTGGATTTCTTCTGGTTAGAGTGAGATTAAATAGACAATGCCCTTGTCAGTGAAGCTGTTTTAAACCAGGTGAAGGGTAAAGGAATTAAGAGAAGCCTGTAACATTCTACTTGAATTAGCATTTGAGGATTAAGCAAAATCTCTAAAGAGGCATTAGCCAAGAAGAGTTTTCTGTGTCATTCTCTAAGGACACTGACAAATTCCTGAGTATAGGTTAGGATAAGGCATGCTCACATTCATTTCATGCAGTGAGTTTGCCTCTAATAGGAAAAGCAGACTCTTGAGCCTTGCCTGCATTTGAAGCAGATGTTTCTAAATCCACCAGAATCCTCTTTTCCATGAATCTACCAGCCCTGGAACTCCCTCATGAGCACTCCAGCTACCAACTGACTGGCATCTATGCAATCATTGTCATCTGCATGTGTTCAGTACGTTTTAAATGATCATATTATACACTTTCAGATTATCAGAGGCAGAAGAGGACTTAGATGACATTTAGCTCAAACCATTTATTTTAAAGCTCAGGAATCAGAGGCCTGGCTAGGAAAAGCACAAAGTCATCCATTTATTTGGTTAGAATTAACAAAGTGCCTTCTATATGCAGGAACTGCTCTGGAGCCTGGGGCCATACCCGTGAACAAGAGGGGTGCTAAAAGTTACATTTAAATGGGAAAGACAAACAAAAAGCAGGTTCAGGGTAAGCATTCTCCCTCTAGAGTGTGGTATAACAGTTTTGAAGGAAATAAACTGGGTGATGCTGTAGGAAGTGATGGAAGAGGTGACAGGCCGAAGCCACTTTGGTTAATGATGGTGGTCAGGGAGGCTTCTCTAGAGAAGTGATGCTGAGCCGAGAGCTGAAAGGAGCCAGGCAAGGGGCACAAAGAATGCAAGACAGAGGTGGCAATGAGCCTGGTAGCTCTGACCAGCAGAAAGATCAGCGTAGCTGAAGCATCTAGAAGGAGAGGGAGAATGGAGGGCGAGGAAGTTAGACAGGGGGCAGGAACCACATTCATCAGGGTCTTGGAGGACATTGTAGAGTTTAGATTTTATTATTTATTTGTTTGTTTATTTATTTATTTTACAGTTTAGATTTTGAAAAGCAATGTAGCACCCTTCTCATTCCTGATTCCCAATTCTCTTTTTCAAACATTCACAGTGCTAAGCTTTATTGTATCCCATGATGAGATCTGTTAATGATTTAGTAATGATGGGCTAGGCTCAGGGCCAGACAATTTTCACATATAGCCTCAGTAATTTACATCAGCCCTGCCACAATACACTCTCACCCCCCTCATTTTATAGCCAACTCCTTTACTGCTAAGTGCCACAGTCACTCCACTCATTCATTCACTGACTTATTGGTTTATCCATTGATTTGCTCATCAGTCCATTCATTCATTCATATTTATTGAGCCTGGCTCTGGGTCAGGCACTAGGATGCCAAGACCAATAATATGAGGTTATTGGGTTCTCACAGTATAGTAGGGGATCCTGTAAAACATGAACATACAATTCAAACCATAATACGAAGCAGCCCTTCACAGAATGGGTAATGCTTGGGGCCCCAGAGAGGGAGGGGCTTGTTCTAGGATTGGATTTAGGAGCTACTCAATGCACTGTCAGTAGTTGGAATCCCTCTGAGCCTTGGTTTCCCCTTTGGCAAAAACAGAGTGAGGGCTCTGGCCCTTCTGGAGGTTTTTTCCTTGTCTAGTTTGCCAGGTCCCAGATCTCCAGGAAGGGAAGGACTAAACGTGAGTGTCTTAGAATGCTGTCCTATCAGGGTTCAGCCTTCAAAAATGGGACTGGTTGGCCACAGGAGGTGCTGGGAAAGGGCTGCTGTCCACTCTTTCACTCACTCAGTCAATTGCAAAGAGCGTCTCATTCTGTCCCAGTCACTAGATTAGGTGCTGGTCACCTGTGGTGAATAAGACAACTGTGCTTGGGGACAGACAGCTTCATGGGCTTTCCTGCTAGGAAAAAGAATTAAAGCTTAATACACTCATAAATATTGAGTGCCAAGTAGGGTTTTCAGATTTAGTAAGGAAATACAGGATACCCAGTTAAATTTGGATTTCAGGTGAGTAATAAATAATTCCTTAGTCATATGTTCTAAATATTGCACGGAACATATTCATACCAAAATACTATTCTTTTCTTATATAAAATTCAAACGTAACTGGCCATCTTATATTTTACTTGGCAATCCTAACTGCAAGTCTTCCTAAGGAGACCCCAAGAATAAGTAGGAGTCTTCTAGGGTGGGGAGGTACGTTAGAGCGTGGAAAACTCCATTCGTGTTTTCCTATCCCAACAGTGCAGTGATTGTAATCGTTCCCCAGGTTTTGCCAACACTGAGGGCTAAAAGTATGACTTGAGGTTTCAGGGACAACCCAGACCCTGGTCCATAACATCTTCCTCCTCCCCTGCTTCACTTCCAGTTTCTATTTGGCAGCCAAGACTGTGTCCTGCCCAAAGGCAAGAACTGAGTAAGATTTCCCAAGGAGGACAGAAGCAAACAACACACAAATACTGGTCTGACTTCGCCCTCGGGGTTGAGTTACAGCTAGGGAGACTGTCCCAGACTCAAGAGCTTCCAGGGAAGGACAGGCTTGGCTGCCAGGGTGAACTTTGAGGGTTGAAGAGAAAGTAACAGGCCATCCCTTAGCACGGTGGCTCCATAAACTGTTAGGCTTAGATATGGGAAATCCAAGGACCTTTCTAAGATCCTCCATCCCATAGTGCCAGAGTCTACAGAAGCTCTCAGCACCTTTGTTCTCTGCTTTCCCACAAACAGAATCTGAACCGAGAGCTCTAGAAAGATAAGACTAGATTTTTCTTCATATTCCACAGAGACCCAGGGAAGTACCTATCACTTAGAATAAGTCCTTAACAACATAATAATACAAATAAGGAATGGGAGCCACCAATGGGAGCCATTACAATGTGCCAAGAACACTACTAGATGAGAAACAATAATTTTGCTTAATCCTTACAATGCTGGATGATAACTCTTATTGCGGTTGGCTTTTTATTTGTTCGCTTTTAGTTTTGGGTCCTGGAGATTGAACCCAGGGGTGCTTTACCACTAGGCTAAATCCCAGCCCTTTTCATTTCTTATTTTAAGACAGGGTTTTTCTTAGTTGCTTAGGACCTTGCTTACGTTGCTGAGGCTGGCCTAGAAATTGCAATCCTCTTGACTCAGCCTCCTGAATTGCTGGGATTACAAACATGTGCCACCATGCCCAGCAACTAGCTGTTATCTAAAGCAAATTACCTAAGCCCTCTGTGCCAGTTTCCTTATCTATCAAAATAGAATTTATCAAAATCTTTGATTTTTTTTTACTGTATACCAATCACTGTTCTGTGTATAAATTTTAATTAATTAAATCCTCATAACAACCCTGAGATACATGTTAGTGTTTTCAACCTCTTTTACCAGAGGAAACTGAAGCAGACCTCCCAAATTCGAGAGTCAATAGAGGGAGGGAAAAATAGCTTCCCTCTGCCCTTCTGACTTCTTTGCCTGGGCTACAAATTAAATTTATGTACAACAGTTTAACAGAAGAAAAGATCATTTAATTAATTATATATGCACAGGAGTCCCCCAAAATAATGGAGGAGTTATATGAAGAGTCAGATGATTAAAACCTCCTGCTACAGAAAGGAAGAAGGGCCCCAGGCTTCTCTTATCACTGTTTTATAAATAAGGAAATCCATCCAATCAGGCTAAGTGATTTGCCAAGCACATATTCTTAGAAAGTGACAGATTTCACACCCAGATCTCATCTCAAAGGATAAGATCTTAACTCTCTTCTCTTTGATTAGAAATGACCTTTCTTGGACACACAGTCCCATGCCCTCATGTTTTAGATACTGAGAAAGTATAGAACATCAGAGTTAAGACCATGGTCTAAAGGCCAGAGAGTAACTAGGCACACACCTATAATCCAAGTGACTCAGGAGCTGAGCCAGGAGGATTGCAAATTCAAGGATAGCCTCAGCAATTATTATAAGCTATTTTTCAAAATAAAAAAGGGCTGGGAATATTGATTAGAGGTAAAGCACCTTTGGGTTCAATCCCTAGTACCAAAAAAAAAAAAAAAAAGCCAGTTTAAAATCCCTGCCTGCTACTTTCTACTGTGTGACTCTGAAAAAGTTATTTAATATTATTTCTGGCCTTCAATTTCATCATCTATAGGACAGAGATATTAAGAGTTATGCTATCAAAGGTTATGAAAGCAATAAGATAATCCTGTGGGGTACAATTAAAGTCTGGAGAGAATTGGAGAGATAACAGACTCCAATCCAGTTAGACAAGTCCTCCTGAAAGACTCTTGAGTAGGATCTGGAGTCCAATATTAATCTATATTATTATGTATAGTGGTAAATTCATTCATTCTCATTGCTGTATGGTACTCCATTGGATGAGTAAACTACAATTTATGTATTCATCATAAAAAAAATAGAAAAACTGAAAGCCCCAGGGGAAATAAGAGGAGAAACTAACGCCATGAGGGAGTCCATCTGGTGTGTGTCCACAGAGGCTCAAGCCTGGACTTGATGACCTTCTTGAATACTGGCAATAGTAGGTATGGAGTCCTGGCTTGGCCATAACTCTCTGGTGATCCTGCACGATCCCCTTTCTGAGATCTCCTGGATCTGTTTTTCTTAAATATTAAATAAAACAGTTGAATAAAATTATCTCTGATGCCCCCATGCCTCTCCATTTTTTTTTTTTTAACTTAAGAAGACCCTTCATCTGAAATAAGGCCATAGTAAGGTAGGGACAAAGTCACAAAAAGTCCAGGTTCTGAATCTTGGAAATAGTTGAACTTGGGCTCCTGGTTTGGCCAATGTGATGGCAAGTGAGCCCCACATGGGCCTTCCACTATGGGGCAGTCATTCTTTTGGGTGTGACACGGGCTCAAGACATTTACTGCATAATTACCTGGCTGTGATCTTTATGCTGTGTTTCCTCACCTGCATTGTGCTGGATCTTAGGATAAATGCCTGGGGAATAAGACAGACATGGGCCCTGGCTGCGGGCTTATTGCGATGAGCGATTTCAGGAAGGGCACTCTATAACAGGGGAATCAGGAGAGCCTTCCTGAGTAAGTGACACTTTTTGGGTGGGAAGGTAGTGGGGATTGAAGCCAGGGGTGCTTACCCACTGAGCCACATTCCCAGCCCCACCCCACCACCACCCCGACCCCGATTTTTTTTAAAATTTTAATTTTGAGACAAGTTCTTGCTAATTAGGGCCTAGCTAAATTGCTGAGACTGGCCTTGAACTTGCAATCCTCCTGACTTAGCCTCCCAGTCTCCTGATTCACTGGGTTTACAGGGATGCACCACCATACCCAGTCTGAGTAAGTGACTTTTAAGCAGCAATCTAAAAGGATGTGTTGGAGTTGGCCGGTGAAGAGGAGTATGTGGACCCTGCATAGCAGATTTTGAAAGCTAATGTCCAGAAAGGAGACATGATTTGCCCACGGTAACCAAAGAGAACTTTGTCATAACTGTTGGTAGAATCCAGTGGACTGCTGGACTCTTAGAAGGAGCCCAGTGCTTAACCAAGAGATCCATGTTAACATTTCCAGGAACCAGAGAGTCAGCCATCCATCCTGCCTCCTGATGTCAACCAGGAAAACAATATCACCCCAATGATAGTCCCGCCAGGAGTGCACAACCTGAATCTAATCATAGAGAAACATCAGACAAGGCCAAATGAAGGACATTTCTGAAAATATATTTTGGTCTGTGACTTCCAAGAACATCAGCCCCATGGAAAACAAAGATTGACTGAGGACTTGTTTCCGGCTAAAGTAGAGCATGACCGGGATGTTGGCACAGCCTGAAAGTGACCTGTGGGTTAGAAGATGATACTGCAGCAATGTTGCATTTCCTGAATTCAGACATTATACTGTGGCGATATAAAACCTTTCTTTGTTCTAGAAATCCAGAGTGAAGTACTTAGGGACAAAGGGGCATATGTCTGCAACTTCCTCTCAAGTGGGTCGGAAAACAAATTTGACAAGATACAAATGATTGGTGAATTTGGATGAAAATATCCAGTTGTCTGTAGTATTTTAAACTTTTCTGTTAAGTCTGAACTTTTTCAAAATAAAATAAGTAAATAATTAGAGGCACCATGTTGTCATCAGCCCAGACTTGGTGACCAGCAGCTCCCCACCCATTTGTACCCAGAGCCACACTGAATAATATCTCACCACCCTCTCTTATGGGGAACAGAGTACCTCTTTTGTGTTGGGGACATTGTTGACCTTCTTAGACTGTGCGACATAGCCCACGACACCCATGTCCAGAGGGAAGACGATCTCGGAATCGGGCATCACCAGGCATTCCTCAAAGGTGGCATCCTTGTGGACGTTGAAGAGTCGAGTGGCTAGCTCCCCGATGCCATTTCGGGCCCTGTACATGAACAGGCTCATACGGTCTGCCTGCAGGAGGAAGCACAGCTTCTTCATGACATTAAAGGTACACTTCTCAGCCTGCAAGTTCTCTTGAAGGTCCCTCAGGAGATCAAAGATGATTTCACTCTCCTCCACGCTGCTCAGAGGGTGGTAGTAGCTGAAGTCCACAGCTGCCTCCTTGGCCCCAAGGAGGTCTGAGATAACCTTGGCCCTGTAGTGGAGATCGTAATACCGTTTGGCAAAGCCAATATTTGAGTCCAGGAACTTCTCCACCTCCTCTGCTGTCACCTCACCCATGGCTGGGAATCCCTCTGGCTACTTCTCTGGAGGCGCTGGGACGGAGGACTTCCGAGGGCACTTTTGCAGTCTGTGGCAAGTAGAGTCAGAACGTGCCCTGCTCTGATCTGGACTTCTCTGGGTCTTGCATGGAAATCTCACTGAGAAAGAAAGACACATAGGAGTGAGAGCGAGCTTGGGAGATTAAGTCATTAATATTTCCCAAGAACAAGGATTATGGGGATCAGTGTGTTCCAGATGCTGCTGGGCCCAGGGTGGGAGGTGAGAGTTCCCTCTTCACCTTGATCTGCTAAAACAGAGAAGAGATTTCTGCACAGAGCAGGAGGCAAACTTAAACACCACTCAAGCAGGAGGTTGCAATAGGCCTCACAGGAACAGCCTAGCCTATTATCTATGTATGTGTTCTTCTGTCCTTTAAGATCGTTTCCTTAAACCTTTGACACAAAAGCCTAACGCTATTTAGGAGATTTGTTTGGCTTCTCCTGGAGAATCATGAGATCTAACAGCCCTTTCCACATTCCTCCATGGCAGAAATGACAGGAGCTGGGAGATGACTGTCCACCAGCCTCCTCTGCTCTTCCAGGCCCCACCCTTTCCCCAAAGCCTCTTGGGTATCTGCCTTCACTTTGCCCAGCGGCCACTCAGACTGCTTCCTTCCTATCCATTACAGGTCTGGCACTTGAGGGGCCAGATTTCACAATTTCTGCGCAAAAGTTTTTCTCAATCTTAGATTTCAATGATTCGGATTCTGTTGTTCTAAGGGTCCTTATAAAAACAACACACCTTTCATAGTTCTTCTTTTATTACAAAAATATACATGTTCTCTGTAGAAAATCGCATGAAGAAGATAATTAAAATCATCCATAATTCTGCTACTCAGAGACAATCTGTCCTTTCCATAGAGGCCTACCTTTAAAAATCTGTTTCCCTTCAATGCACTTGACCTTTAATATGTTTTCTCTGGCTCCAGCCTGTAACTTCTTGGACTGTCCATCAGAAATACACCCAGTGGTCCACAGACTATCATTTCCAGTGAATCTCAAAATACCAGAATCCTTGTTGAAGTGCCCCTCCTGCACACCAGGAAGGAGCAAAAGAACACTTTACTTCCTGGATGAACCTTACTTTCCCTTCCTTGATGTCTCTACATTGTAACCACTGTAGAATGCATGATCATAAACAGTGGCTGGCACTTTGAACTTTGTAAATGAACTTTATTGGAAAGTAGATTACTTCTTTTGTTGTAGAGTATAAGTTCTTTGGGCATTGGACACATTTAGTACCGTGTACAAAGGTGTCCACCTGACCCATGGTTAACATTATAACTCCAAACACTGCAGATTAGTTTTGTGAGATTTCAGATTCAAAGTTATGTTTGTGATATTCATCTATATGCTATGTGTAACAGTAATTTCATTCATTCTCCTTGCTGTATAGTATTCCACTAGATGAATAAGCTACAATTTATTTACCCATCATTTTTTTTTAATGTTTTAAAGTCTTTTGCATAACAGGTATAGATATAAAAAAGTTTCTTCAAATAGTTTCCTAGGTGTCACTCAGAAGCAGCCTTGCTGTCTGTCTGTAACATAATGTGCTGGCATCCTTCAAATAAAATTATAGAGAAATTTAAAATATATATTATACATTTGCAGTTATTTGAAATCATTCAATAGTTTGTAGCATGTTAATGGAGTGAAATAGAGATAAAAGGCAGTCCACATTCATATTTTCAAGATAAATTTACTCAGAAGTTGGTTTAAATCCTTGCTCACGTTCTAAGTATAGCCATTGTGATAAGACCTGGTTGAAACGATTGTTCAAAAAATAAACTTTCAGTTAAATGTTCCTTTATTCTTTTTTCCTCTTCTTCCTTTTGTTGTTCTTTTGCAGATGGGAGAAGAGTAGCAACAACCTCTTTCCTTCCTAAAGCCTTCCTCTGGCTTTGCTCAGAAACTTGGAGACGGAATCTATCGATTACACCATAGTGACAGGATCGAACATCTCTATGACGAATCACAATATCCACACAACACTGAGGCTTTACTGCACCTGCAGCATCAACGACAACATACTTATTTGGAGCAGTACACAAAACTTTGAACTTCAAGGCGAACTCATAGGGATTGTACAGTGTCAACACTTGTTTATGTGTTGACTGATCATCTGCATAAAATATTAGCTCTGTGGGAAACACAAAAACAGGAAGATTTCCTTCCATTAGCTCTGGTTGTCTTTTTTGTTGATGCATTGGCACTGAATCCTCTTGCTGCAGCTTCTGTTTTTACAGACTCGGATCTATTTTGGATTTTTCTTAGTTTCAGTTAAAAGCTCCAAAGCATCCTCGGAAAGCAGCTGCGACTGCTCCTACACTCCTTTGTCAGTGTCTCCAGACTGCACTCTACCCATCATTTTTTTTTTTTAAAAAGCTTCAAACACTCCCAAAGTAAACTGAGCACTCTGTCCAAATGCTCTTTCCCACCTCTCTAAAAAGTTTGAGAATACATATCTATACTAGACTGTAACATGTGTTGCTAAATATGAACATCTTTCCGAGGATCTCCCATTCATTCTGGTGACTACAGAGCACTCCTCTGTATGGAGGGACCATAATGCCACACAGTACCACCCTCTACAGCAGGGTTTCTCAACCTTGGCACTATTAACATTTTGTATTCAGTAATTCTTTGTTGTGAAAGGCAGTCCTGGACACTGAGAATGCTTACCTTGGCCTCGACCTGCTAGATACCAATATCACTCCTAAAAGTTATGACAACTAAAATACCTGCTGACAAGTGGTTTGGGAGCCTGAGGCAGAGGATCTCAAGTTCAAGGCCAGCCTCAACAAAAGTGAGGTGCTAAGCAACTTGATGAGACCCTGTCTCTAAATAAAATATGAAATAGTGCTGGGGATGTGGCTCAATAGTCAAGTGCCTTGAGTTCAATCCCCAGTAACCACCCCCCTCCCATAAATAAAATATCTGCAGACATTTCTAAATGCCCCTCGAGAAGCAAAACCACCTCAATTGAGAACTATTGTCCCTTAGTTAGATATTTAGGTTGTTTCTGATTTTATAGCATTATGAACAATGTTGTAAGGAAGTTTTATATTTCTTGTAAAAACATTCACTATTTTCTGAATATTTTTTTCATTCCTTTTGAGTTCTGCATCTTTTTTAAAAAAGCATAAATATAGAGTTCTGCCATCCATGTACTGGCAAGTGCCATAATTTCATTCTTCATTATGGCTGGGTAATATTCCTTTGTGTATATATACCACATTTTCTTTATCCATTCATCCCACAGGTGTTTTTTTTTTTTTTTTTGGAGTCCAAGTTTAGAGGTAAATAAGATAGAATAGAAGAAAATAACAGGAACAAGAAAGGAATGAATGGGTTAAGAAGAGGTTCTTTGTGAGGTATCAATTTGGAAAGAATAGAATTCTGAAATTGAGGTCCTGCTTGAATGTGAATGGACTGGTGGACATATTAGTGGCCACAGATTCCAGTGTGGGGTACGAAGCGCTCTACCAGTTGCCTAGAAGAAGATGTGTATGAATAACAAAAGATATTCATCACTTCTGCCAAGAGCCATGGTGAAGAAGCTGGGGGTGCTCAACTAGAAGGAAATTCTAAAAACCTATTGAAAGTGAGGGTAATGTGCCAATTTGTTCAGGAAGGTTCTAGAGAGCAGGATAAGCTATCAGGACAGAGGCATAGGTTATTATAAAAACACAGCACCCAGAGTACTTAAAAGAGATAGTTTAGTGTTAAACCTGGGACTGAGTCTGGGTCAGATATCTGCTAGCTGTGTAATTAGTCAATTTTTCCTGGACCTAGCTTTGCTTATCTGTAAAATTAGACTTACTTTACATGGATATTATGAAAATTGAATGAGATAATGCAGGGTATAATGTAAAGTTATGTACCTGGTGTATATTAAGTCAAACCCTTTAAAACTTCCAATGACTATATTCATCCTACCCAAAAAGCGATTTTCTATTGTTTAATTTAGTGTAGATATTCAATAATTATTATATTAGTTATTTTCACTATAAAAGATCTGGATTACCTTATAGGGGGTAAGTGTCATGCCATTGCAGGTATGTAAGAGGAGGACATGGTAAAGGGGATTTACCCATAAGTATTTTTATAGGCAGATAAACCTGAGGCTAAAAGTCAGCAAGCAGGTGCAAACAAGAGAGAGAACTGAGACAGTGTAGAAGCAAGATATAGAATGTGGAGGACATGCTGACTGAGTGGGAGAGGGAGGCACGAGAAGCAGTGGTGTGGACTTGGGAATCTGTGTGCATTGTGCCTTTGTGGGAAACTCAGCACTGGGCCTCCTGCTTCAGGACACTTCCCTGGCATTATATCCTGATTTAGCCTCTACTTCTTCAAGGAAGACCTTTCTCCTCCATGGCTCGCCCAACTCCTCTTCCTCTGTGAAACCACAGGAGACTGGTTCCCTCCTAGGTCAGCCAGCCCTTACAAGTTCCAGAATACCCTTATTGGTCTCCACCCTCTTTTTATACATTCTGTGGCTCACTTCCATATTGCATTCATTTTACCCTTGACCTTGAGTTGATGTCACTTTCTAATTGTACGGTCACCTGCTGACTTAGTGACTTTATATTCAGCTGGATGGATTTCCTGTTGGGTCTGTATATGTAGAGCTTAGCCGGTTTGCAAAGTCCTCTTTGTTTTACCTTAAGAGTCTAACCTGGGTCCATGGTTCAGGCCTTAAAAATTTGTCCTTATGTGCATTTTAACCTATGTACATTTTTTTTCAAGTTCAGATTCTCAAAGGAATCTATTATTAAAACATTGGAAAACTGGAGTATGTTTTAGTATGTTTTCTGTTACTATAACAGAAAAACACCTGATGGTGAAGCTTATCACAATGGCACAAGCCTGTTTTCTAGTTACGCAGAAGGCTGAGATAGGAGGTTTTGCAAGTTCAAGAACAGCCTGGGCAAATTAGCAAGAGCCTGTCCCAAAATTTTAAAACAGGTGGGTGGGTGGGTGGGTAAGTGAGCATGTAGTTCAAAGGTAGAACATCTCTAGGTTCAATCCCCAAGTACTGTAAAAATAAAGAACCCCGAGCAAAAACCAAAACCAAAACCAAACAAACAAACCCCCTGATGCTGGGAAACTTATAAAGAGTTTATTTAGCTTATAGTCTGGAGACCCAGGAGTATAGTGCTAGCATCTGCTCGGCCCTAGTGCGGACTTTCTGGCTAATGACATGTGAGACAGACAGGGAGCCACAGGGATTCAGGGACCTGGCTTTCTCTTTTTATAATAATCTGCTATCTTAGGTTACCTCAAAATCTACATTAATCCATTTAAAGGCCAGTGCTTCCAATGACCTAATCTCCTTCCACTAGATCCCATCTCTTTCTTTTTTATTTTAAATGAATGAGTAATTTTTAAGGAAACCCGATAGTTCTTTTTAATCTTTGAGGGTTTCAAAAAAAAGAAAGAAAATCATTCACAGGAATGAACAAATTCAAATATGGAAATTCAAATTCTTATGTAATTGCTAAAAATGAATATAAATGAACTAATCATTTTATCATAATCTTTCTTTAATCATACAAAAAAGAAATTTACATGCATAACAAAAGAACTTAATGAAAACATAATTGTCTTAAATCTCATAAACTTAATTTTGAAGGATGGATAATACACTTGAAATGATTACAGGACTTAAACTGATGCTTTTTTTTCAAACTATTTTAACATCAGTTTAACCCCATGCATAGAATCCCCAAAGAACATAACTTTTGGATTAGAAAGAGCACTTATGTTAAAATGAGGAATTCAGTACTAAAATTAAGAAAAGCCTAGGTCTATGTCTTCAAAGTTCCATTACCTCAGCTCCATCACATTGGGGACCAAGCTTCTAGAACATGAACTTTTGGGGGACACTTTCAAACAATATCCAAACCATAGTAGGGTGATCCTGAAAAGTCAGGTATAATCAGGTCTTAAATATATGTGTTTTGACAACAGTAGCAAAAAGACAAGGGACAGAAGGGGACACTCAGGCTTTGGAACCAGAGACAGCTGAATTGAATTCAAATTCTTTTCCTATAATTTTCAAACTTTGATTGGGGGAGAACTATTAGTCTCTGCTCTTATTATATTTGTTTGCAAGTTGAGGGGAACAATGATACTTACTTATAGAACTGTTGTGAGGATTATATATTAAACCTTGTTGACAGCTGGTTATCAATAAATGTAGCAAATTAATAATGTAAGCTAAGTATGAGGCAGTAATACTTGGTAGAAAGCAAAAGTAATACAGCTGTATTTATCTCCCTATCATTTTTTAAACTCAAAACTTTAATTATCTTTATGATTAAATTTAATTATCTCTTTATAAAGTAATATGTCTTTGTGGTGTAGAAAATTGAAAAAATATAGGTAAACAAAAAGAACATAACCCAGAGAAACATCTTGATATGCAACCTTTTTTCCCAATCATATAATTAAAAAAAATTTTTTTAGTTGTATTTGGACACAATATCTTTATTTTATTTATTTATTTTTATGTGGTGCTGAGGATCAAACCCAGGGCCTTGCACGTGCTAGGAGAGCATTCTACCGCTGAGCCACATCCCCAGCCCCTCCAATCATATAATTTTTTAAACAAAACTATGGTTGTGCTGTGGTTTGTTTGTTTAACAATACATAAACATCTTTCTCTGCCATTAAATGTTCCTTTTTACTAGTTGATTTTTTTTTTTTTTTTTTTTTTTTGGTATTGGAGTTTGAACCCAGGGGCATTTGCCACTGAGCTACATCCTCATGTAGTATTTTTATTTTGAGACAGGGTCTCACTAAGTTTTGAGGCTGGCCTGGAACTTTTGGTTCTCCTGGCTTGCCTCCTAAATTGCTGGGGTTAGAGGTATATGCCACCATGTCTGGTTTACCAATTGATTTTTTTTTTCCTTTGGTACTGGGGAGTGAATCCAGGGGTGCTTTACCACTGAGCTACATCCCTAGCCCTTTTTTATGTTTTATTTAGAGACAGGGTCTCACCAAATTACTTAAGGTCTTGCTAAGTTGCTGAGGCTGACTTTGAACTCACAATCCTCCTACCTCAGCCTCCCAAGCATGGTGTGTGTCACCATATTGAGCTTACCAATTAATTTTTAATGGCCTCATAGTCTTTCACTGGGTGGATGTACCATAATTTATTCAACATATTTACAACTATTATTTAGACTGTTTCTAATTTTTTTCTTCTTTTTTTTAATACTTTTTTTAAGTTGTAGATGGACACAATACTTT